AGGGGTCAATCCAAAGGGCTGGAAGCCAAAAAACCAAAAATCCAAGAATCAAAACGATGGGAATATCCAAAAACACAGGAGAGCTAGAGAAATTCCAAATACCTAGAGAGGGGGCGAGACAACGCTGACACAAACAATGGACCGACAACCGTACTGAGACGCAGACAGGGTTATATACACAAGGGCTGGGTGATTAGGGAATTGTGCACAGGTGAGACCAATAAACAGAGGAGGAGCACAACGGAGCATGGGAGGAAAACAGACCTAAAAATGAGGAAGGGAGCAAAATGAACTGAGAGAGAAAACAGACTAGATAAAACACTAACAGAAGACTAATGATAAAAGGTGTCTAAGGAAAAACGTAAGGGAAACCTAGAGAGCCTGTAGGGGGTTGGGGACACACAGGGACGCTGAAACCTGGGGGGAACACCTAAGGGAAAAAACCTGGAGTGGCCTGGGGAACACAAGGAGGCACATGAGGAACACAAGGAGACACATAAGGGAAACCTAGAGAGGGATGGAGGACACAAGGAGACACATGAGGAACACAAGGAGGCACATGAGGGAAACCTAGAGAGGGATGGAGGACACAAGGAGACACGAGGGAGACGCAGGACGCAGACCATGACAGCATTAGCAACTATGCCACACGGCAGAACTCATTCAGGTTTTTGTTGTTGCATTGCTGTTAGCCAATCAGGGGCAAAATGTCCAAATATCAGGAAATAAGACTCCAAAACCTGCCGTCTCTCCTTCAGCTGAGTCCTCCATGCTGATCCAGGAGCTTCTGAGGGATTCCCCCCCCCCCCCCCCCCCCCCCCCCGAATACGACTTACAAGGCATTCATTCCTACTAGAGACCACTGCAAATGTATTGATTAAAGATTAAAGGTTATGAAGAATCGGTTCTGAACACTTTATCTGAATGCACCGTTAGTCAGAGCAGCCAAGTGTGTGGATTTCTGAGCCATACGGGTAACCAGCACCACCCCGCAGCTCCCGATGGCCCTGTCCCACGGTCTCTGACTGAAAATCTGACACACTTGTTGCTACGGAGTCTTTCTCGCACTAGAGCCTGCAGCTTTACAGAAACCCAAACACGTTGATCCTTTCTGTTTCTGGGCTTTTCTTATTTTTGCAGCATGCAGTTTGTCTGACGTTCATTTCTCCAAATAAGTAGATTTATTCCATGTAAATCTAATAACTTGTGAGTAATCTTTACCTGCTCTAAAGGTCAATACTTGAATTTCTGAGTCCTAAAATGGAACTGGAGCTGCACTAATGATTTATTCATGCAATCAGCAGTTACTTCAATTTTTTATGTCAACCTATTACATTTCAGGGGTCAAAAGCATCGCAGTTCCCAACTCCTTCTGCATGTTGATCAGCTCAATAAAAATACAAACAAAATATGCTGATTTAAGAATTATTTTGGTGTTGACATTAAAGACATATAGGATGTGTCAAAAACACTCACTTCTCGATGTTAATTCCTCCCAGAACAGCATGCACAAACAGTAAATGGCCTACAGCGCCTTCTAGAGTCCTAGAACCCCCAAAGGCACTTTACAACACAATCAGTGATTCACGCTTTCACATGCACATTCACACCCTGGTGGTGATGGGTTAGGGTGGCCCTGGGGCTCACTGACAGAGGCGCCGCCGTTCCCTCCGAACACCACAATAAATGTATTTATTTTGTTGATTAATGCCGTTTCTCCCGTCTCCATTCTTCCAGCGTGGCCTCACTAGTGACTCCCTTTGAGGCCATTTCGTTAAGAGACAGAAGAAACACACAAGGCAGGGGCGTGTCCAGGGAGTGGCCTGGGGTAGCAAATGCCACCCTTGGAATGTGATTGGCCACCCCAGGTGCCACCACACTGAATTCCCTTTAAATAGGCTTTTCACTGTCCACAAAAGGCTTGGGGTAAAAAAAAAAAAGCATAACCATTGGTGCCACCCATGCACAAAGTGGTGCCTCACCTGGGCCACCCCATTTTAAAAGACCTGGACACGCCACTGACACAAGGGTCACCAAAATAACTTCAATCTGAGAAAAAATTAATAAAAAACGCTGAAAACCAATTAATGAGAATCAGACATTACTTTTGATCTGTGGATCCTCCAGAACCTCCAGAGAAATGGTGAATGGTAAATGGCCTGTATTTTATACCGCCTTCTAGAGTCCTGGGACCCCCCAAGGCGCTTTACAACACAATCAGTCATTCACCCATTCACACACCCATTCACACACTGGTGGGGATGAGCTACAATGTAGCCACAGCTGCCCTGGGGCGCACTGGCAGAGGCGAGGCTGCCGAGCACTGGCGCCACCGGTCCCTCCGACCACCACCAGCAGGCAATGTGGGTTAAGTGTCTTGCCCAAGGACACAACGACAGCGACAGACTGAGCTGGGCTCGAACCTAAAACCTTCCGATTGCGAGGCGAGCACTTAACTCCTGTGCCACCGTCGTCTGAGAAATATCAGATGTGATTTGATAACCATCACAGGCGTTTTAAATGCTGTAATCTGTCAGTCTGAAGTATTTAAAATGTAAAATGTGGCAGTGTTTGCTAGTGTGACAGGGTGAGCATCTTGTCACTGTATCCTGATTGATTGTGCTCCCTGGCTGCTGACCACAGGGATGTCCCTTTGGTTGACGAGTTGGCACACGTGACTATCGCCCGGGAGGCTGGGGTTCATATCCTGCCCGGGCCCTCGTTTCCTCACCCAGCCACAGTAGTATCAGTGACAAGAAGGTTTTTGTAAATTGATTCTGTTAATCAGTTAACCCCGCCCCTTATTTATTTATATTTTCAATTATTAGTTTTGTTGGTTTAAATTTATTTTGGTTACATGGTGTGTGGGTACGGGGGCCTCTTAGCTAAACACTCAAATAAAACATGTCTTTATTAAAACAAAGGCAATATAATTTTAAAAAGTGAGACATCTGAAATAAACACATTTAAGGAGCAAGTCACCCCCTACCAGAGTCTAACTCCACTCCCACTTCATGTTTGAAAAATGCAACAAATGCTGTTGCCTGGCAGACCGAGAAGGCGGAGCTGCTAACAAATACACACACACAGGCTCACAACAGCATTGTGGCATCATAATGTACCAGTTTACATCATAGCATACCTCTTAGCCAATAGCGATGGCAGATTTAAATTAAAATACAGTGCAGAGTTTTTACCTGACAACGGCACAACACTGACTGTTTTAGGCAGAATATTTAAATTTTAACTAAGATGCACTGAAGTGCCAAATTATTGGCTACACGTGTCTGCAGCACGATTAGACACTCGTTTATGTAGTTTATCAGACAAAAAAAAGTTTATTTGGGGTGACTTGCTCTTTAACTTGTCTCACAACGTTTTTGGTTTGTGGTAAATCTGCAGCTAGCATTAGCGGCTAGTTAGCTTGAAATAGCTTCGGATAAACTTGCTGTGTGATATACATACTTTAAGAGACAACGTGTTGTTTTTACCCTTAATCACTGGAAATATCCATCGAACTGTTGTTGAAAATGAATAAAATGACGTTGACTTGTTGAAAAATACTGACTGCTACAACATATAACCATAAAAATCAGGTCTAAAGTACAAAGGGCACAGGTCTAGTGTCTTTGGGGACGCCATACTAGATGCCATGGGTGTTTCTCAATGCCAAGGAACCTTGCCTTGATGTCTTGGCCCCGCCCCGGTTGCCTAGGAGATACGTCATAAGGAACCGCCAAGACGTGTTCCACTGTTCATGTTCTACAGAGGCGTGTGTTCTCCGTTTGTTAGCCGTTTAGCTAGCTGAGCAAGGATACACGGGAGGTGTCTTGTAGCCTAGCCTTGGTCAAAAATTACCCAGAATACACCGCAGTATTTTCAAAAGGATGGCGGATCAGAAGCCAGCAGCTTCGGGGGCAAATTTCAAGTTTAAAAGTAAGTCAACTAATTTTAAACGGTTTTTTTTAGATCCAAAGAAGTTATCTATGGTTGGTAAAATATTTAGGAAGTAAGAAACACAAATTTAATAACAAAACTGCTAAACTCTTACCAAAACATCTGTGAAAGAACAGAATCAAAAAAAGAGATGCAGTATATTTTGGCCTAGCGGGATTGCCGTAGTATGAATACATCATTGGCAGGTGCAGGACCCCAAGCAGATCCAGAAACTAAAGCGCCAGAAAACTAACATCAGCATTGCATTCTCTCGAAGGAGTTAACTTAAACACTCAAAATCTGAGGAGTCACACAGAGGTTGCAAGCTTTCTATCCACAGGTAACATTTACTGTCATTTTATTTTTAAAAGTGGATAATGGAACATGTTAATAAAAAGCTATGTTTTAAAACAATAACACCTCTACGGGCTTTTAGAGGTGTGCGGAATGAATGTACGCGAAGTGTGGATGAATTAAGTCTCCAGCCATGCCTTGACTCCCATTTTAACTAGCGACAGTCACAGCGATGTGGTAAAAGTACCCTGAAATGTATGTTCTGCCCCCCAGCACCAGGAAACTACACACTGCCACTTTAAACGTTAGAAATATTAGGTAGGACTTTTACTTTTTATTTTAAGATACAAGTAGTATGTGCTCACTGATTTTAAAAGAATTTATGTTCCCCACATTAGCATGCTGACACAAAGAAGTTTAGACTTTAGCTCAGCGGTAGTTTCCGCCCTGGGACTGGGAGATCAGGGCTCAAATGCTGGTCAGGTCATACCAGAGATCAACAATGGGACCCAATGCCTGCCTGCTTGACACTCAACTTTAAACAGGTTGGACTGGGGGGGTTAAACCACCAAATAGTTCCCGAGTGCAGCCACCGCTGCAGCTCCCCGCGGGGATGGGGACAAATTTCACCAGTGTGCGATGTCCAATGGGACTTCAACTTTACCTCAAGTTAGATTAATAGTAGATTGGTTAAGCTTTGAAATGATTCACAAAAACAATATTAATGCATGACCAACATCCAAGAAGAGACTAAATAAAAGAACACAGAGTAATAACTCAACAATGAATTTTTATTTTTATCGAGTTCATACCATTTTGGTTCTGTAGCAACCTACTGGACAATTCTAATGAAGTGCAATTGTACTCAAGCCAGTTACAGTTGAGAGCAAAGACAGGCACGTTTTGTGCAAATTTAACAGCATTGAAACGGCTCCTACAGTACACATACATCGCAAAAATACATGCCAGAAAACAAAAAATAATGTTTTTGTACACCGACAATAATTAGGAAGACGTCCCTTAAAAACAACATCAACCCAAGCTAACACTTGATGAACATTTGACCCATAGCAGACGTATGGGAAACACAACTCAGGCTGCATGCCCAGACGTGTGGTGTTAACCAGCTCCGAGGACTAAAGAACTTCCGTCTGTCCTCTAACAGAAACCAAACATTGTGCGTTGTCTTTTCAGACTCATCTAATTAAATATTGCTAAATTAAACCCTATTTGTTAAAAGAAATAAACAGTTAGTTGTAGAACGCTTTTCTGACCTTGCACGCCTGGCGGAGCTCCAGCAACTCAAAACTAAAAGCTGCAGGTTTAAAATATCACAATCCACATGAGACAACACAACCATCCAAATCACAGGGGAGATGGTAGCCAAGTAGGACTTGAAAGCAGGTGTCCAACTACACATCTGCCTAACGCTGCTCTATAGCAATAAACGGGACGAGACACACGTCAATTACGTCCAATATCTACATACTCAAGAGCTGAAGAGGCTAACTGACTCCAGTAAAACAATAGTTTTGAGTCTTGTAGCTGACGGATGAAATGTGGTTCTTGTCCTCCAAACATGCAGAAACACCATAATAAAACTCTAGCTGGGTGGGTCTGGTAGAGTCAGTAGCGTCGTAGCATGGACATTACAGGCTAAGGTCTGTGGATGAGAGCCCCAACTGCTCCATCGTTCACAGTGAAAATTTGAGATTTGACAAACAAAACGTCCCCGGAGGCGTCCGCACTCTGGTGCTGGCTCCAAGGTGTTGAGTTTGTCAGACGGTGTGACACCTTCTCTGAGCGCGGCTGCAAAAGTTTCACTCTCTGCTGGGGGATTTCACTCAAATCCAAAAAGGGAATTAAACAGAGGGAACAAAACAGACCAGATCTTTTAAAAAGAAACTCAAATGTTTTAATAGTGTTCGATCCAAGACGGAGAGTGAGGTAAAACGTTACCGTCTAAAACAACAAACTCATGAGGGGGGCTGGCAATGCCGCTTGTGAAGGAGAGCAGGTGAACCACTACATTCTACAGCTTTCCTTTGTTTTACAATCAAGGGCCACAACGAAATCTTTTACAACCTAGAATTTAACAGCATCAACAAAAACTACTCCAGTTGCATCCAAATGGCAACTATCAAAAAGTAAACTTACCGTAACATACATATTATATAGTGTATAGTCCATGCAACTGCGCACGGCGGATTTTGCATCATTATGGTATGTCATTATTAGTGTATGGGAGACATCAGCCACCAGTGCATTTCCGATTTAGGCTCAGGGAGAAAAACTCCTCAATACCAATCAGAAACTTCTCAGCCGGACTTGAAAAGCAAGATGGCCACTTGGCCCAGGTAGAAATAAATAAAATGCTTTGTCTCATGGGTGACGTAGCTGCCAAAGTTCCTCCCAACGATGCAGTGCCAGGTCGGATTGTACTTCTTGTCAAACTCCTGGAAAAAGGAGATGCAGGGAAGGAATTAATAAATGTCAAAGATGGGTAATTTCATCTGAGATTTAAGATTTTAGAATATTCTCACTTCTATCATTTTTTAAACAATTTTATTTTGCAAACAACAACCATGTGTCCGTCTTTGTGAAAAAGCGTGATAAACTGTGGTTTTTGGTTGGGTAAGCAGCATCCTCAATAGAAATGAATGCACTGGGGGTGAATGGAGACCCATCTAAGATGGCGGCCAGCCACTACGGCCAGTGCACAGGGCGTCTAAGTACATATGTCTGTGGCAGAGAGGGCCTCGGCTAATAGAAGCTAACCGTTAGCAACTCCACAACATGGAGAACACGTTCAGGCATATGTTATTGGGTGGGGGGTATGGGTAGGCGGGTGTGAATGAGTGAATTTGAATGTGTGTATAATGTAGACATTAGAACATTTTATGTGTATTTTTATCCTGTATTCACTGTTATTTTTTACTATACACCTAGTGTAATAACTTCACCCGTTCAAAGCTCTTCTAGGGACAAGTGTTGCAAACTAGCCTCTGGCTACAACACTACGACACAAACATGGGATTACTTTCATATATGTGTTCAAACACCCACATGCAAGAGCTTTTTATCCACAGAAACCAACTCACATTCATTCATACCAAAGACCACAACAGATATGTTGAAACACTCAGAATGAATTATTATTATGTGCTCTACTGCAGCTAACTCAGCGTATCGCAAACACAGAACGACTGAAATCAAATGAGATAGGACAACTCATCCCGTCCTTTCTAGGATTGGACCAAAGCAGCTTTAACTTAATCACTTATCAACATCAGAGGAGTTAGTCTGAAAGAGCGTTGGACTGATCCATCGGTTGGCCGATATATCAGGTCAATTTTTACCGTTTTTTTAAACATCGGCATCGACCGATATTTGTCTTTAGTGAAGCTGATTTAAAGTCAGGCACATCCCCAGGTGATTCTATTCAATTCAATTCATAAATACTTTATTAATCCCAGAGGGAAATTGATTGCTGTAGTAGCTCAGAATAATAATAATAATCAAGTCACCAAAGAGTTGTTGTATATTACAATGGCTGTTGGCAGGAAGGATCTCCAGTAGCGGTCAGTGTTGCAGCCAAACTGAAGAAGCCTCTGACTGAAGACACTCTTCCGTTGTCGGACAGTCTTGTGAAGAGAATGCTCAGGGTTGTCCATCATGTTCTTGATTCTCTGGAGAATCCTTCTTTGCATTATCTCCTCCAGTGGTTCCACAGTCGTCCCCAGAACAGAACCAGCCTTTTTTATTAGGCTGTTGAGCCTTTTCAGGTCCCTCCTTCTGATGCTGCTACCCCAACAGACGATGGCTGAAGAGATTACACTCTCAACAACAGATTTGTAGAAGATCTGCAGCATCTTGCTACAGACACTGAAGGACCTAAGCATCCTCAAGAAGCGCAGTCTGCTGTGTCCCTTCCTGTAAACGGCTTCGCTGTTCTTTCTCCAGTCCAGTCTGTTGTCCAGGTGAACTCCAAGGTATTTGTATTCCTCAACCACCTCCACTTCTTCTCCCATGATGGAAACAGTGTTTGACTCCACCCGGTTTCTTCTGAAGTCTAAAATCATCTCCTTTGTTTTGTTCACGTTCAAGGTCAGATGATTGTTTCCACACCATGCCACAAAGCGCTCCACCAGCTCTCTGTACTCAGCTTCCTGTCCATCTCTGATACACCCGACAACTGCAGAGTCATCTGAGTATTTCTGTAGATGACAGGTCTGTGAATTGCACTGGAAGTCTGAGGTGTACAGGGTGAAAAGGAATGGTGAGAGTACAGTCCCCTGTGGTGCTCCAATGTTACTGATCACCTGGTTTTGTGTGCAGTTCTTCAGCCTCACAAACTGTGGTCTGTTTGTCAGGTAGTCTTTAATCCAGGCGATAGTTGAGGCCCCCACCTGTGTCTTCTGGAGTTTCTGGCAAAGTACATCAGGCTGGATTGTGTTAAATGCACTAGAGAAATCAAGGAACATGACCCTCACAGTGCTGCCTGCTTTGTCCAGGTGACAGTGGGTTGGTTGAAGCAGCTGGATGATGGCATCTTCAACTCCAACTCCATGGCGATAAGCAAACTGCAGCGGGTCCTGATATGTCCTAGTTTGCTTATTCAGGTGGACCAACAGGATTCTCTCCAGGACCTTCATGATGTGGGATGTCAGGGCAACCGGTCTGTAGTCATCATTGACTGATGGGCGAGTTTTCTTTGGAACTGGAATGTTGCAGAGTTTAATCTGAAAGTATTTGACATTCACTAATAACTTAATGCATAATAAATAATCTAAATGTACTTTATTCAGGTGTCTGATTTTAACCCTCGGGTGTCCGCTCTTAAAAGTGCCTAAAAACGTATAAATATTTCAGTTGCTTTTTTCATGGATCTGTTGAACAACTTCAGTCCTGCTCAAATATATAAAAACTTCAGTCATTTTGATAATTTTAACACTTTAAAATCCTGTTTGATTACTCAATGTCACTGCTGTAATTTATGAATAAACAGTCTAATTGTTTTTGTTTTCTACACTTTGAAGTACAGTATGTCACACTCTGTCCTGTCTCCCCATTCTGTTCAGTCCTGTGCCCATGTTAACTGCTCCCACCTGCCTCTCATCACCCAATCACCCAAGGTCCCGGCTCCTCCTGTATTTAAACCCAGTCAGTCCCTTTTGTCTTGTCGGTTCATTGTTTCGTTGTCCTGCGTGTTTTATATTAAAAATCCTTTGAAGGTCCCGGTCTGTTTGCCTGCCTGCTTCCCCTGCATTTGGATCCTCACCTCCGCTCACCTCAGGATCCAGCGGGGAAGTCCTGCCCTGGGACGGTCTGCTCCCAGGGCGCACAACCAGCTTCAGCTCCGCACCATCCCCTCCCGCACCGCCGCAGACGCCGTCTTCAGACTTCGTCCTCGGCGATCCCCTCCACCCTCCTGGAGCCAGATGGGAGGTTGGGCTGGGAGCCACAGCTGGACCGCTCCGGTTTTGTGGGCACCAGACTGGCGATGTGCTCCCTGGCGCTGGGATGGAACCCAGGCCCCGCCATCACCGCCAGCCCAGGAGCTGCGCCACGGGCGCGCTGCGGTTCCGGCTGACGTCACTCCCGGCTGCACGGTCCAATCCCACTCAAGGGGGGCAATGAGAGGGACCAGACTGGCAGTCAACCTGGCGGCGTTTGCCCTTCTCCAGGCTGGGCTGGTCAGTCTAAAAAAATCTCATCAGCCTCCGGGAGTTCCGGCAGGACGCTCTGTCCTCCCTGCTTCTCCAGGAGGCGGTACTCGGGTCAGTGACTCCACTCCCGTCAGTGGCAATGCCACTGGTCCAGCCAGCATCGCCGCCTGCAGCGGCACTGCCCCCGGCAGCTCCACCTGTCCAAGTGGCTCTGCCCCCGGCGGCTCCACCTGTCCAAGTGGCTCTGCCCCCGGCAGCTCCACCTGTCCAAGTGGCTCTGCCCCCTGCCCAGCCTGTCCAAGAGGCTCCACCCCCGGCGGCTCCACCTGTCCAAGTGGCTCTGCCAAGTCGTCTCCACGTCCGGTGCCGCCCTTTTGGGGGGGGGGGGGGGGGGGGGGGGGTACTGTCACACTCAGTCCTGTCTCTCCATTCTGTTCAGTCCTGTGCCCATGTTAACTGCTCCCACCTGCCTCTCGTCTCCCAATCACCCAAGGTCCCGGCTCCTCCTGTATTTAAACCCAGTCAGTCCCTTTTGTCTTGTCGGTTCATTGTTTCGTTGTCCTGCGTGTTTTATATTAAAAACCCTTTGAGTGTCCCGGTCTGTTTGCCTGCCTGCTTCCCCTGCATTTGGATCCTCACCTCCGCTCACCTCACCCGCTTGTAAGAGAGTGAACCATGTTTTATTTACTTTTTTGCCTGACCCTCCCACATTCCTGTCTGAATTGAAAAAGCTCCTCAGATGAGAAGCTAAACGTCTTCAACAAACCAAAGAAGTAGGGATGCACCGATACGATACTGGTATCGGTATCGGCACTGATACCCATAACAATACCAGTATCGGTATCGGTAAAAGTTAACCAATACCAGGAATCGATACCAATGCAGTTGCTTGAAAGTGGCTTCACTGTAACTTGTCATTTCTGTTCACCTAATATTTTAGTTTTGTGATTATTTCCATTCATATATTTTACTTTTTATCTACCTCACAGTCTTTTCCTGTTGAAAGCAGAGAAGAAAATAAAATCTGTATTCCAAATCATTGCATTTTTTTGTGTGGTAGAAGTATCGGTATTGGTAACAGGTATCGACGAGTACTCAGATCCAAGTATCGGTATCGTATCGGTTTGTAAAAAAGCGGTATCGTTGCATCCCTACAAAGAAGTCCAGTTGCCTTCATTTGAACCCTTTTGGATCACCATGACCTGGACGACAGAGAACCTTCACCAGCATCCTGCATCAACTGATATTTGTGATATTTTAGCATGAAAGTAAGACGAAAGCATCTTGATACGGGCCGTTGGCTGACCGTGTCTCCTACATATCAGCATCGGAACTGGCATAAGAAAAATCATTATCGATGCACCTCTAGTCTGAAACGCATAAAAAGTGAGGCAAGCAACATTTTTAGCCCATTATTTATGATATTTTGGGAAGATGAATGAGATTTAGTCTCGGACACAAATCAAAACAGCTGCTAATTTCTAAAATGATTTGAGTTAAATGAAAGACTTAACAGCTGGACACCAAGAGCATCGAGCCAGAAACCTGTCTCGTTGCTCCTTTGACTGTTTCAAAGCAGCAGCTGAATGCTTGTGGACTGAGGCAGCGTACCTCTTGTTGCTAGGCACCTGTGAGGTCACAGATGATGTCACTGTTAGAATACTATAGTGTTGTTTTTATCCATATTGTGTAAACTCATGAATGCATCTGTCCTTTAGTGATGCGGCCTCATCAGAGACATTTACCGTGATGGGTTTAGTGGCAGAAGGGAAATTTAAATAAAACTGTCTTTTATTCTGTTTTCATTCTCCTTGTTTCATGTTAAATACAAATGTATTGAAATATTAGTAGACATCGTGTTTTGGTGATGTTTGTTGACCTGGGGAATATATGACCTTGATCATGAGAACTTGAACTTCATGTCCAACAAAAATAGATGAGGAGATAGCTCCTGAGCTCCCAGTGAAAACCCAGAGCTCTGCTGGGAACCAGTCCTGCTCACCTTCTTGATGTAGGCTGCTATGTCCTTCTCTATGTTGTACTTCTCCATGGCCTGGGTGGCACAGTCCACGGCGTCCTGCTGCATGTCCTCGGACATGTCTGCGTTCTTGATCACCGCTTTCCTGTCGGTCATGGTTCTGGGTGTCTGCTGTGGAGAGAAACGGCCACGTTCACGTAACCCGCACTGGAAACCGACACCGCACGTGGTGATGATGAGGAGGAAGGTTTAGGCCAACTAGATCATCGCGATTCCTCCAACAGCACGCAGGTGACAAATAAAGCCACTCGGCGCGGGGCTTTGTGCTCAAAACGCACAACTTAACTTCGTGTTTGCGCAAATGTTCGCAGAAAAACCCCAGAGGAGTGTTGATGCGAAACTTGATACAGGTGGAGCTAAATTACTTAGCAAAATCACTTTCATATGAAAGCATCAGGAGAGAGAAACGATGCAAACGCACATAAATAAAGCGACACCGTCGCTAAACAAGGCAGCGACATGTAACGTTTAATCAGTCAGAATGCGTTATTACGTACAGTAAAACATTCCAACTCCAAATGTGTCAAACGTAGAACCAGTAAATATAGATTCTGATTACTCACATTCCCTCACACCGCTACGAAACAGTTCCGTAAAACAAATCCGTATTTTAAGGACCCAAAGAGGAAGGTTTAGGTGATGCAGCGGCTCATTGGTTTTTAAAGATTTACACAATAAGCATGAAGGTAGGTTGGCTCGCTGCTGTGCTTCGCGAGGCCCCGCCCATCTACTGCATTCCGCGCTCTCCAATTGGCTGGACCGCTACCTCCTCGCGCATTGCGAGCGGTTTTTCTCCAGCTCGTCTCTGCCGGCATCTTATTTCATCCCACAATGCATCATTCAGTGTACGCCACTGACGGCAGGCACGAGGCCTTTACTGTACGGAAAGATCATTCAGCGTCACGCATTTTTTAAGCGTATCCAAATAAAACTTCGATGATTTCCACCACATTTTGTTTTAAGTATTTTTTTTTCTTTGAAAATGTTTAGCAAGCTTATAAATACAAAACCTTAATCTGTGGCATGTGTAATAAAAGACAAAACAGTGACCTTGTTTTCAACTGTTTTATTGAAAATGCTAAAAGAAAAAGAAAGTTATGCAAAAATAAAGACATTCTACTCCCAGATAATCACCCCCTCCCAAATTTATTTAAAATTCCCTCATACCAGGCATCTACGACTCCATCCTTTGATCCAACTTCCTGGTCCTGTTTCGTTTTCTTGTACAATAAAGCCATAATCAGTGAAAAGCTTTAAAAAAAAAAAAAAAAAAAAAAAAGAAGGGGGTGGGGGGAGAAAAAAGGGAGAAAAAAAAGATAGGCAAAGGGGCCTAAAATGGTTAAAAAATTTAAAAAGTTGCTCTGGGACTCCCAATTAGTTCTGATAAACTCATTTGAATCCTCGAAAAGTGCTCCCGTTCCAAGCATCCATCCTTGCCTATCCCTTTCCTAATCGATCCACTCATCCAGCTCCAAGGATTGGGATCCACTGAGCCACTCCTCCAATCAAAACCTTGAAATACCAGGAAAAAATCAGAGGGAAACTGTTAGAATAAAATGTCAAGATTTTTGGGCCTATTTTTATTTTTCCCCCATGTTGAAACAGACATGTCAGACTTTACAAAAATGTCAACTAAAAAAGCTACTAAGCACAAAGCCTTGCTCCCTGACACTGAAATAGTTTACCTACTAGGAACTTTAAAATTGGGAGGCTCTTGTAAAAAAGTGATTTAGGTCTTTTACATTTGACATTGAAAGCGTTACACTTACATCACAACACTTGATTTAGGACTGCTTATTCTGTCAGAGGGCAAAGTAGCATGTTACAAACTCTCTAACAAAGTACAACCACATGTCTGTTAAATAACATGCATGACATGGCAAACCTAACAAAATATTCAGCTTATGGAATATGAAGCATACCATCGCCTCGACCTCATTGCTCCTAGATGTCCTATCCTGATCATACAAATGAAATGTGCTCCACAATGGTTTTATTCCAAATCACTTTAATCCTTCTCCTCAGATGTCTAAAGGAAGACACAAGGGTAAAATACAGTTAAGCACTGGATTGGGCTCAATGTCAGAGGCCCACCCCACATTTCCAAAAAAAGGCTACTAAAAGAATAAAAACCCACTGAAACGAAAATTTCAATACTTCCAAAAACATTGAGTGCAGCTCAACATTTTTGAAGTTGACCGCCAAAGTGTGTGTGATGTTGCAAAATCTGAGATGACAGGAAGACGGAGAGAAGGGGACAAAACAAGAGGGCAAAGTAGTTGGAGAGGGGAGGAAAATAGAGAATGGGTGGGTGCAGGAGGGGGGGGGTACATCTACATACCAAGATCATCCACAAGGACAAGAAATGCAAGAAATAAAAAATCAATAGCTGACATCTGGAGAAACTCAGAGGTAAAAACAGGAGGGAACACATCAAAAGGGCTTAACATCAACGGTAGTTCAGGAACGGGAACGAGAGCGGCTGTGACGAGGAGAGTAGCGAGGCGATCCTCGGCCATGGCCACGGGAATTGCTGCGACTGCGGCTGGCGCTGCGACTGCGGCTTCGGCTCCTGCTGCCACGGCTGCGAGAACGGGATCTTCCATAACTTGGGCTGCGGGGACCATCTAATTTCACACGAATGTAAGCGGTCTCTCCCTGGCAGACACAAGAGAACTTCACATTGAAAAGGCTAAATTCCTTCTTCTGGCGAAAACACAACAACTCGGTGTAGCTCAAAACAGCATTTTTTAAAATACTCACCCAGACACGGCAAAGAATCACAATCCATGACAGCTAATCAAATCAGTACACATACCTCATGCGAGCGGAATTTGGTGTTGTCCAGCTTTCGAACGGCATAGGTCATGTCCTCTTTGCGAACAAATTCTACGACCCCAGTTCCATCTCTGTAAACATCGGCATAGCACACATCACCAGCCTCACGCATGTGGTCCTTCAGGTCCTGCCAGCTGCCACTCTGGGGGAGACCTGAACAAACAACCCAAACACACCTAACATTAGAGCTACACAGCTCATTAGCAAGACCAAATATTAGCCCTACCGGCAAAAAGAAATCCTTGAACTTGTGTTCATTTATTTATCTTTGTTTTATTATATTTTGCCAAAACACTCAGTAGAGAACAGTCGCAGAGCAGCTTGAGCTTTCACTGAAAGGGTTGCTAGTAGGGATGTAGGAAAATATTGATATGGCAATATATCGTCATCTTTTTCCTGCAATATTATATCGATATTCAAAAGCTGTGTATCGAATATTTGAAAGAATTGATTTACATGCAAACACTTATGATTTTTTTCTCTTTCTTTTGGTGCAACTCAAACGCAGACTGCTAGTTACAATAAATTTGGTCTGAAAAAAATCGCTAATATTGTCTGGCTGAATGCATCGCAATATATTGTGATATATCGTATCGTCTCTTTTATCGTGATACGTATCATATTGCCAGAATTTCACCAATTCACATCCCTAGTTGCTAGATAACGTAAAACTCATGTAGGGGTGGGTACCAGTAGATACTTCTTGATACTACTACTTTAACGATACCTGGTTTTTAATTGTGGTACCTCAACAATACTTTTGTTGAAATCTATATATTGCAGGGTTTCCCTTACATAGGCGTAGCCGTGGCGGGCCGCCACGGCTGAAATCCCACCGCCACGCCTACAAGATCACAAGTTTTATTTATTTTTTGCGCTGTTTCCCGAAGAAGCAGCGGGAACTACTATGTTGTCGCTTGTGATCACAGCCGGCAGGCAGCAAGGGGGAGCAGGCAGGGCAAGGTGAAGTAACAGCATAAGTTACTGGGTTTAAAATTAGAAAGGTAGCAGTGGATATAATGCTTTTTGGTTTACATGTTTCAGTAGCATTAAGATAAACAAGTGTTGACGATCTTGCCAGGTTTCCTCCCCCCACCTCTTATTCATGTAAAATTTTATTTTTTTGTGTCCGACTTTAACCACATCTAATACTGTATTACGGCGTGAGCGCAACAGCGACAACTTAAGATCGATGTGTGAGCAACCTGAGAGGTCGGGTGTTTTCATCTGAACTAGGGCTGCAACAACGAATCGATAAATTCGATGAAAATCGATTACTAAAAGCGTTGGCAACGAATTGCGTCATCGATTCGTTGTGTTGCGCAACTCTTCCAAAAGCCCCCTCCCCTCCCGCCCGCCGTTGCGCGCAGACCGGTGGAGAGCCGGCAGGTGTTTGTAAGAGGAACATGGCAGAAGCAGCGAGACTCCAAAAAAGTAAAAACTTCTAAAGTTTGGGAGCATTTTCAGTTAAATCAGGCGAAGACATTCAACGTTTGTAGGTCAGACAGCATGGCGCGGGGATACTACGGTGATGATGCAGCATCTTAAACGCAAGCATGTCAGAATCATCAGCGAGGAGGGAGAGAGCTCTGTGTCCGGGTAAGTTAAAAACTTTTCAAAAGTGATTCACCCAAGCCCCGGATTATTACACAGGCTAGACATGCCCTAAGCTCGTAAAAAAGTCTATAAAATCGTAAGCGCGACGCTATTAGATAGGCGGGGGGGGACTTGCGCCGCTGCAAACCGGTTCCGCCGTCACATTCCCGCAGAAACTGGTTGATCACACCGGGGCCAGACTACTAGCATGTGGCTACACAACCACAGTGTCCTCAGAAGCGAAAATGCTTTTAAAAGGGAGGGAGGAGTCCTAACTGTTGCTGCAGGCGTGTTGTGTGAGAGTGCAGTTATATACTGGTTAATATATTTTTGGGTTCAGTTGCTTTCATGTGGCCTAATGTGAGTCTATTTGGGATCATTGGAATGATCAGCAGGATTTCTTGATGTGACTTTATGGCAGTTGCCCAGGGCATCATCACAAGGAGGGTGGCATTCATTTACTTTTGTTTTATTTGGTATTTTTCAGTCATTTTTGGAAATAGTGATTAATTTTAATTAATTCATAGCCTATGTTTAATTACATTTAAAAATTAGTTGTTTGACATCCCCAGTTATAATAAATGTCTACGGATGAGATCAAACAAAACAGATGAGAATTGCCCTTAAAGAGCAAGTCACCCCCAAATAAACTTTTTTTTGCTGATAAACTAAATAAACAAGTGTCTAATCGTGCTGCAGACACGTGTCGTCAATAATTTGGCACTTCAGTGCATCTTAGTTCAAATTTAAATATTCTGCCTAAAACTGGCAGTGTTGTGCCGTTGTCAGGTAAAAACTCTGCACTGTATTTGAATTTAAATCTGCCACCGCTATTGGCTAAGAAGTATGATATGATGTAAACTGGTACATTATGATGTCACAATGATGTCGTGAGCCTGAGTGTGTGTGTATTTGTTAGCGGCTCCGCCCTCTCGGTCTGCCAGGCAACAGCATGTGTTGCATTTTTCAAACATAAAGCAGGAGTGGAGTTAGACTCTGGTAGGGGTTGACTTGCTCTTTAAGCTGTTTAACTTGGACCAAGCATTTTAGGTCACAGATAGGTGTAGCTTAGGGTCTCTGTCTATACACCTTATAAGACAATTTAGGTGATGGCATGTTGTTTTTCTGCTATTGAACTGTTTTCTAATAATGTTTTGTTTAATAAAGTGAAGGAAGGAGAAAAATAACGTTTCCCTAGCAGTTTTTAAAAATGTCCCTATGTAATCCGATTAATCGATTAATCGTGTCGAGACCCCATCCGATTAATCGATTATCCAAATAATCGTTTGTTGCAGCCCTAATCTGAACCCTTAAAACCTCCAGCAGGCTACGTTGCACTATTGACGTGTTAGCGCGCGGCGCTAACAACTCAGCGACGTGACATGTCTAGGAGAAAGCGTAAAAACACGTTGGACGTTTCTTCTGAAGCGGGAAAATAACACTTCTTAAGCAGAGCATGACGTTGCCTCGGCTCGTTCACGGCCGAGCCGGACTGAGCTCGATAACATTGACCCAGCACAGCCACTGGGTCGTTGGAGCTGCCCCGTGACTGCCTGATGGAAAACCAGCGGGTTTCATCAGACTCGTAAAGTTTCTTGTTTTTGCTGGGGACCCCCTGTATTTTACCGCTCCCTCCTGCAGTCTTCCCCTAATAAATTTTAAAATGATTCTGTAAATTCCGCGTATCTGTCTCTGCCAGCTGCAGTAAATGTAGTCTCCAAATAATAAATAAGAGGTGCATTCATCTGTGCATCTCCTTCGATCCGCATTAGTGATATTTTCAGCACCAGCACAGTGAAGCAAAGAGATTCCCGATTTTGTTAGTAATTTTATTTATTAGGTGCATCTAACCTGTTCTATTTTTCTCTAAAATGAGATCAAATCAGTGGTTCTATGGGTTGTTATTCAGATATGTGTCATAATTTCTCCCCAAGCCCCCAGTTTACAAGAAAAAACATGAATGTTAGATTTATGCTGTGACTGAGTTTGTGTGTTGTGTTGTTTTTGAGATCTGCTAAATAAATCTTATTTGCATTACTTGGAAACCCTAGTGAGTTATTGAGACAGTTCTTTGGTGTGTAATAGAGAAATAAGTTTGCATCAAAAAGGCAGAGAATGAAGGGTTTAAGCTTTTTTGTGAGGGAGATTAATCGGCCATTATATCGGCTATCGGCCTTTGTTAAAAGTTTTTTATCTGTATTGGTCCCCCCCAAAAAAAGCATATCAGTCGGGCCCTATTATTTATATTATACTTTATTTCAATTTCTTTCTAACCGAAACAGAGCAAAGCTATAGCGCAAACAGTAAAGCCACAAAACTGAAATATCTATATAAAAATCAGTGTTTCCCCCCAGGAATTTTTCCAGTTGTGGTTAGGGTTGTCACGGTGTGAAAATCTAACCTCATGGTTATTGTGACCAAAATTATCACGGTTTTCGGTATTATCGCGGTATTTTTTTTAAACGTGTTACATTTTCAGACAACTAAATAAACCCTGTATATCAGGAAAATATTGTCCTCAGTTTGTGTCTAAATTTTGCCTAAAATTTGTTATTTTGTAATTATGTTATTTGTTTACATGTTTCCCCTTTAGTCTTTAAAATACCAATATTTGCCAATAACTTCTTATTTTTTGTCTGTTTGATGTCATCATTTTAAAAATATTAGAACAGATGATACTCAGTACTCAAGTAGCCTTCTAATCAGATACTTTTTTACCCTTACTTGAGTAATAAACCCTATATCAGGAAAATATTGTCCTCGGTTTGTGTCCTTCCAGTGAGCTTTGCAGATGTGGGAAAATGTCATCAGGCAGTAATCGTTGTTAAATTCATAATTATTCTCGGAGAGAGACCAACTCTTATCTGCCCCTGGGAGCCCCGTAATGCATAGCATCATTTCAACATGGCGGTGTCCGCGACACGGTTTATATGCAGGTAGCGGCGCTGCGGCTGCTTTATATAGCGACTCGTTGCATTCTCCCTCAACCCAAATCCTCGGATCACACATTTTAGCTAAAGCGCTAACGTTAGCTTGCCTTGCGTTGACTGTAGAGTTGTGGGTGATGGTCACGCAGATGTGTCATGAGATTTGAAGCGTTGCTGCCTTTCACAGACACTTTTTCTGCACGTGCTGCAAACAGGATAGCCGTCTTCTATCAACTGTCCCTCGGCATTCTTCACATATCCAAAAAATGCCCGTACTTCCCACGTTGTCTTCTTTGAGGGATAATAAATGTCCTGAGCGCTGCAGTCTTCTCCTTTGGCCATTATTTCAGCTTTAGCTTCAAGAAAGTTTTGGTTGTAAATAACAAAGTGTGCATGTGCCGCCGGCAACTTCAGCAGATGATACGGTGGCTGGTAAGGGTCACCGCGCCTACACCGCAGCCACGGTAATCCACCAAGATAATATATATTTTTTAAAAACAAGGCGGTTATTACTATTGTCAACTTTTTTACCGGGGTTTACCGCTACACCGTCCACCTCGGGGGCGGATATCTAACCTATGAGAACCCACCCGATTGGCCAAATGGGTGAAGAGCTCTAGTTAATTTGTTAAGAAAAACATCATGCTTCTGTCTGATTGACAGAACACATTATGTGAAGCAAACATTTGAGCTGACCATTCATTGCAATATTTTTCTGTTCTTTGTGATATGCATATTGCTCATGCTGATATCGCGATAACGACGATATATTGTGCAGCCCTAGTAGCGTCAAAACCAAACAAGCTTTCAGTATCCATCGCTTCCAACAGGAAGTTGGGCTTTACTTCATCTGTCCCTGTGAGCCTGTTGGAGAACCCTTGGGACAACAGATAATAGCGTTATGTGCCTCTGTACTAATGCAGATGGGGAAGTATAAACCAGTCTGAAGGGTCACTAACTCCAACCTTTTGTGGAATACCATCTGGCTAATTTTAGCCAGCTCATCATACCTTATTCTGAAGCCATGATTAACAAGCTTCTGGAAGATAAACCACTTGATACAGCATGCAGGAGCAGGAAGCTTGTTAAACATGCCCCCAGGGACTGGAGTTGGTGACCTCTAGACTGGACACTGCCCTACCAACCAAGAAGATTGTCAGAGGAGAGAACATGACTACGATGGCAAATCAGACAAGGGGTATGAGACACCACAGAATCTTCAAAGTGTGAGTGCACATCTCATCTTTAAGAAACAGTTAGATGCAGACGGAGTAAAGCTTTTGTTTCACAGCTGCACGTTAGAACTTAGTAATGTTGTTGTCTATTGTGTAATATTTCCATGAGGGTATCAGAGAAGAAGCGACCATAACTTCAGTTATGTTCAACAATAAGTTTGGAGTTCAAATAAATAGGAATAACCGCGCCAGTTTTAGACTTTTAAAGACAGAAAATCAATGGTGTAATTATTTAGTTTCAATGTCATTTGTTTCATTGGTCATTATTTAATTTGCTGTAGAACATTATAAAGCCTGGTGGCATTCTCAGCTGGAATACCTGATTAAGTAAAGTAACAAGCCCAGGAAGTAGTTCCAAAGGAGGCTGGCATTGCTTAAAACAATCACTGACTAATGCAGGGATGACTGGTTCAGCCTAATTTATACATCTCCATCAGCTCCATGAGGGAGAGACGCACACGCACGGAGACGTTTTGCCTTCAGTCTTCTCCGTCTCCCTGAGAGTGTCGCAAAGCAATTCCCCACCAGCACAACAGAGGTCGTAGCGCTGTTCGGTGGTGTCCTGTCATGTATTTGGTCCATAATAGTGTGTTTATATTGTGTATTTTTGTATTTACAGGGTATTTGCAGGATTCTCAAAATTAAATTTTAGACCTTTTCAAGACTTTTTGAGACCTTCTAAAAATAAAATTGCCTCCATCGCAAAGAACTTATCAACTGTTAAGCACTCATTGTTTTTAAATACTGCATCGCTTAGTTTTCCACTTCATGTCGGGCTACGTCACATCCGGGACAGCGAGGCTGTAGCAATGATACATAAAGCCACGTGGTACAAAAATGCAAATCACGCACATAGAAGAACAAAAAATATATTTTTTAGTTTACATGCTTCTGTTTCTCATACCTGCAAACTCAGAGGCTGTGAAAAAAGTGACAACTAAAATAACTCACCTCAGACAAGGTCCTCACGTGCTGCAGGTGTGAATCTATTCTACAGCGGGGTTTGTAGTGACCTCTGACATTTACATACTTTTATTTTATTGAGAATTTTTTTAAAATATTTAGCATGATGTTTTTGCAAAATGCAAGCAATTTTCTACCAGTCCTACTGTTCAAGGAAAACCTGCGATATTCGATAACAGTGCTTAATATTGTGATATCGATATTACCACGATAAATGAACAAATACTAAAGTATGCAGTGTTGATGTTGTCTGGCGTGTGACGTCTGCTCTGGGTTCAAAGCAAACAAAAACTAATGCATGAATTCCATTACAACATAATGTTTTTATTACAAAGATATGCAGCTGCACCTGCTACTGTATTAGCAGCTGCACCTGCTACTGTATTAGCAGCTGCACCTGCTACTGTATTAGCAGCAAAACAACAAACTGCATGCATGCAGTTTCTCAGTGACTTTAAAACATCACCTCCACCATAAAACTTTTTTGATGCTCCACATACAGAAAAACATCCCTTACCAGGGTTTTTGAATAAATAAAGATATCTGAAAATAAGTTTAAATGTTAAATAATAGTTAACATCACTTAAATGCAACAGCAAATTCTCTCATTGCTACTGAACTTTCTCTCCACTTATGTGGTTATGATATAAGGCTGTTGCTGCAACTGGGAAGTGAACTGTGCTGGGCCAAACTAGGAGAGTATTAAGATTTTTTGAGGGAAAGAGAAAAACAATTGTCTACCTTTCAGAAGAGGAACTGGCAAAAAAACTACATGGAAAATATGTGAAAACGTTTGTTTTTAACCCCAAATTGAACAAGTTTACCTAGATCTTAAAAAGCAGCTCAGATGATGAAACTGCAACTATGCTTCTGATAACAAGCTAACAAATTGAACTAGCTCCTCTTAAGATAACCGGCTAGCAGAGCTTCTGACTGACAGTTTATGTGCAGCAGCAAATCAACTATCCTGATTAACAAGGTTATGAAAGCTCATGAATGAAAAATCACTTTGATGTGTGGGGGAACTTTTCCAGGCCCTCTTTAGCAGGGTGGGACTGGGAGGAGAGTGCTGTAGCCTTTTAGCTGGAAGCTAACCGGAGCCTGGGGCTGACACCACACGGTGGAACACTAGCGACGTGGAGGTGGGTTGGTTCACCGGCACGTGTCGGAGTCAGCCCGGTTATTATCAGCTGCTTAACGACACCGAGCGGACTCACGTTCACGTTTGAAAGCAGCGCTGATTCCAGAATCCTCAGCACAGAGTGTTCGTTGCTCTGAGCCAGCATGACGAACAAGGGAAGCGAGCGGCAGCGGAAAGCGGAGATAGTGGAATTTTGGGGTAAGGGTCTACGTAGGGGGCGGGCGTATTACGTGAACGGACCCATCTGATTGGCCGCATATCAGAAGGGCTACATTTGATTGGTCAAATAATACTTCCGCGTAAAAAACAGAGCTGGTTTACAAAAAGTTGATGTATGACACAAATGGAAATGTTTGAACCAAAGTTTGAACCAAACATTTATCGCCGTTTTTGACGTGCTTTGCGATGGGCCTATCGCACGTCCTGTTATCGCGATGACGATAATTTTTCGATATATTGTGCAGCCCTAAATTTAAGCTATAATTTCCAGCAATAGCCTGGAATCGGTGCTAACCACATCGTGAACGTGAGATTAGCCATCCAGTTACCATTAAATTTGCACTTCCCCATGGTGCAAGCTCCCACTAGCTTAACCAGCTAATGTGCTCATCTAAAAATAGCCCCCTTTCACAACCAACTGAATGTGTATGGTTCCGCTTATGCAAATCTGCAAAAAATAAATAAACAAATAAAAGGCTGAACACTAACTAGAAATTCACGAAAGTTTTATAGAAATAAAAGTATCTTGTTTATTGGGTCTTTGGTAATTTAAGACCTTTGGAAACTATATTTAAGTATGTCATTTCAAAGGATTTTTAAGGCCTTACATTTGAAAAAGCGAATTTAACACTTAATGACCAGCGGATACCCTGAAACAGAATTTGAATATCAACCCATAAATCATTAGATTATTAATTTCTTCTAAAACAAGTAAAACACAGATTGGAGAGTTTATCGTCTTATTACGAAATGATATTAACACTACTCCTCTAAAAAAGATCTGGTGCAACTTTGCAGTGAATCAGTTAAAACCACCACCCTGCAGGCACTAGCTAATCGAACAGCTGTAAATGTGAAGCAGCGGGATGTTTACCTGACACGATGACCCTGTACTCCGAGCGTCTGGATGGTGGTCCGTATCTGCCCCTGGGTGCTCCGCCAACCCCTCCACCGTACCCGCCGCCTCTGGAGCCTCTGCCGCTGCGAGGAAACTCCACACGCAGTCTGTAGCCGTCGTAGTCGTAGCCATCGCGTCCGTAGACCGCGTCATCTGCGTCCCTGGTAAATAAAAACGCATGTCTGAAACAAAAACTTACAATCACGTATGTATGGAGAGCGTCACAACGGACTGCCGCCATGTTTTAGCTTTTTATCTTTAATGTCTGACAATCCGTGTTTCGGGCATTAACGCCACTTTTGTCAACTTTATTTGCCTTAAAACGGACACGTCCGTCCACAGAAACCACGCTTCTGCCGCCGAAACTCACCGCCAAGTCCACCGAGAATGAATTGAGTAACGGTTACATGAAACTGAGAAGACAAAAACATGGTATTCACACAATAATTTCCAAATTAAAGCTTTTAAATGTAATGAACTGCACCTGCTCCAAGACTGAGACATTTAAACAGTCGGGAATCAACAAAGACCAACCACGTTTTGTTCTCAGGACAATGCGTGTCCAGGAAATAGTCTGATCCTCCGCTTAGGCCTATTGCAGATGCTAACAGGATTAGCTCCTCACCTCGGGTCTTCAAATTCAATAAAGGCAAAGGGCGGCCCTCCTCTCCGGTTCTTCAGGTCAATGTCTCGGATCGTTCCGTACTTGTAGAACACGTCCTCCACGTCTTTGGTGCGAATATCGGGGGGAAGATTCCCAACGTAAATCCGGCAATCGTTGTTCCCGGCGGGGCCTCGCACTACACCCGACATTGCTAACTAAGCTGTGCTGTTGGGAAGACTCTGCTTAACCTCTCCGTCCCAATCCGAACTAAAACGGACCCCGGACGTGTTTGAATCACCACTAATGGAAACAGTAATCATGTAAATATAAAGCTGATGGAAAAGGGCATCAACTCGTATGATAATAGCAATAGCCACCTAGCAGACGCGACCCTACGTGAGGCTCAGAGATCCGCGTGTCGGCCGAAGCGCGGCCCTCAACAGCCGACACGTCCGCCGCCGAAAATAGTTCCGCCCAAGAGATAAAATACTTTAGATTAGATTAGATTAGATTAGATTCATTCCTGGAATTATTTTCTAAGTAATTTTTACCACAACAATACCATACCTACTAATGTTTCAGCACAAGGCCAGCCTAAGTGCTGCACAATCATAAAACAAAAACAGTGAAATCACATTTTTACAGCCACTCAAGCACTCTTCCAACACCTCACCAAATAATACATCAGTCGTTCCCGACCTTTTTTTCCTTTAGGGACCCTTGCCTGTGTCTAAAAAATAGCCAGGACCCTCTACTACAACTGCTACCCACACAGATACATTAAAATGATTAATTAAAAACTTTATACCGACATATAGAGGTATAACTGGTATTCAGAGCTTTGATTATACTATTGGGTGTGTTACTGGGATTGTATGAATATAATTTTTACAAATCTAATCTTGGTAACCTCACAACTTCAGCACAGGCAAAATTGCAGGGACCTCCTAGCCTAGTGAACTAGACCAAATTCTTGCTTTGCAAAGAATAATTAATACATTTATTTAGTCTGGCTTGCTAGGCTAGGGACCTCCTGCAATCTTGAGGGGATGCCCTGGACCCCAGATTGGGAACCACTGCATTATATATCCTTGAACGTTTTTCAAAAACTGTCAACATCGGATATAAAAACATTTTATAACTTCACACATTAATAATCACTACATGTGCTTTAAAGGTGAATTCATCTGATTTTTGTTTCCTCTTCTGTTCCTTCAGAAAGGAAGTGGCTTTAATTCCCAAAGGATGCTCCGGGTCATTGATCGGGACACTGAAGCCTCACCAAGATGACAAAGGCTGCTTAATTCTTTACTAAATCTCTCCTTTCAGAACATAAGAAGCATCACATCCCATAAATAAAACAGGCATGGTTAATCACTTGTTTTATTCCAACACTGTTAGACCATTACACAGAAAATGCTGAGAAAAACAACATCACACATTCTGTTGAGCTGATGTGCAGCGACAGATTCTGTCCAGGCATGTTAATTATTATTAATTAAAACTATGAGCAAATTAATTCTCTCACACACACCGAGGACAACTTCCTCACGCACGGCGATGAAGAACAGATTTATTTAACATTTATTTTAATGTTAGGATCATTGCTGCGGCCGAATTAGCATACGGCACAGCAAACATTAGTGTGAGGCTTTAGTCGCTGCGTCACTGAATAAATGAACTGTGCTCTTATGATTCCAGTAAAGCAAGCATCATTTGTTCTGTAAATTAAACATCAAAGGGTATTTCCAGACTATCTTTATTTGTCAGGATGATCAAACCTGCTTTAAATCATCGCCATGCATGTGACTATTCTGAGGTCATCTAGAGTGCCATTCATCTGTGACTTCATTGATTGAGGAATCAAACTCTTAATATGCATGGTGGGAACCGTAGACGCGTTGGCCAGCATCGCCGTAGTTATCGGCGCCGGTGTATTTCCCCTGACATGCCAGACCGTTCACCTGTGGGCGGAGAAAGGAGCACATTAAACACGGAAGTTTGAGTTTGCCCTACCTGCAACAGAGGTTAGAACACACCTCTGCTCGCTTGATAAACTGCTCTGTGGCGGTTTTCTCATTCTCCTTGTGTCCTCTCCAGGCTCTGAGGGCAGATGCCTGCAGGGCTCGACCAAAGGAGAAGGTCAAGATCCAGGGTTTGGCCAGGGGACAGTTGTTGATGGCGTTGAGATGGACAGAGGCCTCTTCTTCGCCCTGGCCCCCTGAGAGGAAAGCAATTCCTGCGGAGGACAGCAAAGAATTCGCTCAGTTTCTGCAGACTCCACTCACCTCTGATAAAAGCAGAGAGATGCGGAGGAGTTTTGACTCACCGGGGACAGCTGGGGGAACAGTGCGACGTATGGCTGTGACTGTTGCCATAGCAACCTCCTCTGGACTGTATTTGGTAATGCAGCTATGGCCAGGAGTGACCATGTTGGGCTTGAGGAGAGAACCTTCTAGGTAGACGTGGTGGTCTGCCATGGCCTTGTACACCGCAGACAGGACCTGCAACTGCCGACTGTTACCCACAGACATCTGTCTCACATATTCCTCCCACCAGGGATCAGAGAAACTGACCTTTTCAGTGACGTACTGGCATCGTTTCAGGTCATGATCGCCATCAGGCAAGATCTCCGGCTCAATGATGGGCACAATACCATGCTGAGTCAGAAAAAAGCATCATCAGGCACTGGACAGCAGACACTACGAGCTAGCCACGACACTACAAGCTAGCCACGACACTACGAGCTAGCCACGACACTAAGAGCTAGCCACGACACTAAGAGCTAGCCACGACACTCAGAGCTAGCCACGACACTAAGAGCTAGCCACGACACTGAGGAGATCTGACCTGCTGGCAGATGCTGGAGTAGCGAGCGAGGACGTTGGCATTTTCTGAGATGGCCAGTTTGGATGGATTGGCGTCGCTGATTTTGAGCACACAGCGCCACTTTGCAAACACCGCGCCGTCCTTTTTATACTGAACACAGCGCTCAGCCAGTCCGTCCAGACCTGAAGAGAAAGTTTTAAACGTGCTGCGGTGAGGATATCTGCAGCGGAAACTTCTAGAAACTACTCTTGGAGGAGTTTGTCTGACCCTGTGTGGTGGTTTCTCCACACGTTCCTGCCAGAGGAACCACTCCTTTGTCCACCTGAAGGACAAAGATTAAAACTGTCATTATAAAAGCTAGAGAGCCGCGCATGGAGGGGACTGCTGCCAGACCTTGACACCGATCAGGACGCCCCTGTCCCTGATCAGTTTAACAAAGGGAACGCCTTTATCAGAGTGCTGGTACAGAGTCTCGTGGAAGAAGATGACTCCTCCGATGCAGCTGTTGATGCGATCGTCGGCACTAAACAGGATCTGGCGGTACTGTCTGCGGTTTTCCTCCGTGTTCTCCACTCCAACCTGGGCAAGCCTCTTTGCCATGCTGCCTGTTGACACATTATTAAAGATAAACATGCTGATGAGTTTTGACATCTTTTGGCAACCCCCCACGCACACAAACAGCTTACAGACCTACGGACTCGTCTGCAGCCAGGATCCCTTTCCCTGGAGAAATGATGCGTAAAGCGATCTCATGGAGCTCCTTCTTCTGGACCTCGGAGAGTGCTGGGAACTGGTGCGTCATTCTGGGAGTGACTGTCCGAACAGCCCTTCGGTTTGACCTGGTGGGTGTTCAGCTGGCCGGCATGGAGAAAGGGCAGCGGTCATTGACATGTCAATGCAGCATGTTGCAATCTGGAGTTTTGAATTAAGCATTATGATTTTTTTATTCACGGTTTTTATTCCTCCGGGTGAAAAAACGTGACGCTTAGCTAAGAATCTACGTCTGCTGCCTTCTTTCTGTCCTCGTGAACTCGTTTGGAGATTAAAAAAACTCCTGAGAACTATTTCTCATTCAATATTATTTTAAAGCAGCATAAAGAACACGCTGAAAAGATCACAACAAAAGGTCAGAGGTCATGAACATAAGGGTTAAACCAATTATTAGTCTAGTTTAATCAGCTGTTAAGGGAAACCTACCTGAGGTTCGGATCTCCTCCACTGATCCACGGAGCTCCTCTCCTCAGCTTTTTGTTGGTCTCCAGCTCCGCTACGTCACACCTCCTAATCCAACCTGCGGGAGCGGAGCTCCAACACCCACCTTTGTCCCAAATTCTGATGATTCACTTTTCTAATTAAATGGTTATCACATTTTCATTCCAAGTAATTTTTACAAAAACAACAAAAAGGTAAAAAAAATGTTGCTAAACTTTGGCTCGACCTTCTAAGCTCTTATGACCGTGTTCAGTTTTGCTGGGTCCCTCGTTGAGTTCACACACTCTTCCACGGATCCGTCCCTACTGCAGCCCAGCTCAAGCCTTTCATCTCTCCCTGAGGTCAGATATTTTTATCTTAATTAGATAAAATTTGCCTGAAGGAAATTTTCAAACCTCCTGATAATTTGGTCCTCGCTCACTTTAATCCACTGGGGCTTGGAGCACTTTGTTGGGTTTTAATCAGCTTAAAATGTAAAGGAGGTAACAATAATAATACATTTTAATGCACTTAATATGAAATAATGAAAATATGATGAGGGATGTTTATTTTGACTGTATTTTGAGGCTTTTTTTTACTTTATTTAGGATGTAATGGATGTTAAAGAATTACATTTTTGATTAATGACCAGAGATATTAATGATCCATATCTAGTATGGACCCCATCTCTGGACACTGGGCTTTTTAAATCAGAAGAGTGGTTCTTTTTATTACAGGGAAATTTAATACACTTTGCATGAACTGAGAGACGAGAGAAGAGAGAGAGACCTCCAAATGTTTAAGCAAAATTTATTATCTAAATTATTTTAAACAAGTTTACGGGACTAACTCTCTAGTGATGGACGCTCATGGAATTAATGTGAGGTGGAGTGTGTGTTGGTGCGATGTCAGTTCAGAACCTCCGTTCTGGAGAAGCGGGTCTGAGTGGGATGTTTTGCTCCTAACTGATCAACGTTTGAACCGTGGTCAGAAAACAACATGAGACGCTATCTGTGCTGTTCTACGTTACCCGTCAGTGAGGCCGCCGTCTTGTTTTATTCTTTTTATTCTTTTTTATTGAAAATTGTTTGCAATTTTAATCTATTTTCTGTTTGATTTATTGTTGATCTCTTTGTATTTTATTTAAATGTACTCTACTTTTTAGAAAGGTTCTGTGGACAAGTGTTGTAAATTAGCACGTGAGCTAACACACTAAACAATGCATCTGGTTCGTCCAATGTAATTGCTGTGTCCATGTCAAATAAACATCACTACTACTAGATCAGGCTGCCAGGTTCACGACCTTCCATTGGTACTGGAGCCGCCGAAACAGCGTCCTCAGCACGAGAAACCAGTCTTTGGATAGTCTCCAGGTAAAAAGCGGCAGGTGTTTCACAGCGTCAAAGGGACCCCCCTTTGGGTCAGCGAGTTCAGCTTTTATTCTGAAGGAATCGTTGTTTTGTTGATAACAACGACAGGATTTTCCCATCTTGGCAGTTCTCAGCTTAAAAGTAAAAAGTACAGGTGGCCGGTCTGTACTCCACTTAGCAATGATGAACTTCAGGGGATCTTGAGAGCTGGCCAAATACTGAACTCAAAATGGCGTTGTTCTGTTTTATTAATCTTGATGTTTACGATTCTGGATGAATCACAGCTGACAGATTAAATAAACACCACAGAGACTCTGCCACGCTTCAGAGTGAAGGTTCTGATCGGATTTGCGACCGGAATGTGTCATGATCATTTATCTTGTGTATCAGGTGACTAGTGGCTAGAATACGTCATTTACTTATTAAATATTAATCATAACATTGTGATTTCACAGATCGGTCACATGGTTATTATTGACTAACAGTTGTTTTGATTAGCTTTATTAAAATAAATTCTTTGATTAATTAAAAGAAAAGAGTTCATTCTTCGTTCTTCTGTCTTCACTGCTGGAATGTAAACAATTTAGAAGTGAATGCATGACCTTGAGGCTGTTTCATGCACACTGACGCTGTGTCAAAAAGAACAGCTGTTAGAGGGGAGAAATGGCTCCTTCATCACGTTACAAGGACTTCAAGCCTATTTCTTACAGATAATAAACCAAAATGTGGCTTTTCATAATGTATAATTGTTAAAAGGTGTTTGCGTTTAGTTATAATAACTCTGTTTTTTACATGTATGTTTCTATATACGGGCAGCAGTAGCTCAGGTGGTAGAGCGGGTTGCCTCATGATCGGAGGGTCATGGGTTCGATTCCAGCTCCTGCCAGGGGTCCTACTGTTGTGTCCTTGGGCAAGACACTTCACCCAACTTGCCTGTGTTAGTGGTGGTCAGAGGGGCCGACGGTGCCAAATGGCAGCCTCGCCTCTGTCAGACCTCCCCAGGGCGGCTGTGGCTATAAGTAGCTTACCATCCCTAGCAGTGAGTGAATGTGAGTGTGTGTGAAAGCGTCTTTGGGTGTCTAGAAATGCGCTATATAAGTTCAACGCATTATTATTATTATATGCAGCTGCAAGTTAAGGAAACTGATTTCGAATCTGTTAAAGTTCCTGTTTGTTGGCCCTCAGAGGAAAAACTCATCTGCTTTTTCCAGGGACTCCTCTCTTCTCTTTAGTGGGTCAGTGTGCCTCAGAAGCTAAATGTGGGTCACTGGACTGCGTGCCACGACAAAGCCACAACACAGACATGCTGGACCTCTTAAGACACGGGCCTGAGAGGGATTCAATGTCAGGAGGCAGAACTGGGAGGAGCCAGAAAACTCCCATTCAGGAGATCCAGTTTTAAATAGGAGCATGACTGAGAGGTACACCAAGTCTACTCGGCTCCGCCGGGACCCTCCACTTTTTCTCTGTTAGCTAATTAAAAATGTAATGACGATACTTTATCCGGGCCTCAATTTCCCATCCTATTACGGTTGTCCTCTGTGGATTTGGGAAGCATCGTCTAAATGGGTCAAGCAGATCCAGATCCAGCCCTGATTCTCTAAAACCCTTATTTATCACAAAATATGATGGATGTTGTCTCAAACTATTATTATTTCAGTAAACTTGATTTAAGTTACGTTTAATACATTTTTTTCTTGACAAAACCAAGTCTAACAAGGTCTAACCCTGAATGTGGCCTCATTTGGCCGGATGGACCGTAACCTCCTGCCTGAGGGAAGCGGCTCAAAAAGTCTTTGACCCGGGTGAGAAGGGTCAGCTGCTATCCGACCTGCATGCCCCCGAGTTCTGGAGACGTACAGGTCCTGGAGAGATGGAAGGCTGCAGCCAATCACCTTCTCAGCAGAGCGCACAATGCGCTGCAGTCCATGTTTGTCCCTCGCTGTGGCTCCAGCGTACCACACAGCGATGGAGGAGGTGAGGATGGACTCAATGATGGCCGTGTAAAACTGCACCATCATCTGGGTCGGCAGCTTGGCCTTTTTCAACTGCCGCAGAAAGTACATCCTCTGCTGGGCCTTTTTGAGCAGGGAGCTGATGGATGGCTCCCACCTAAGGTCATGTGTGATGGTGGTTCCGAGGAAGCGAAAGGTGACAATTTGAAAATGACAATTTATAACAGCTTTGATATCAAAACTTGGTATTAAAAGCAAACCTGTGTCTGAATGGAAACTAAAGTGGAATGCGTGGGTTTGGATGCATAGATGGATCTCAGAAGATTTCTTTCAGAGAGAGAAACGCGTTCTGGGTGGAAAAGGTGTTTTGCAGCTAACTAAGTTGTTCCTTAGAGAGAACAGCATACAGACGCCATCTGTCGGGAAGTGTCTACCTCACCCGGTTAGGAGACCCTCTGTTGGATCCGAGACGTCAGGTGGAGATGATGAACACCCAAGCACGAGGTTGGTAGAAGGACCTTGGTGCGACCAAATCGGTCCTGAGATGTCTCCGGGTCACTACGACTGATGAAACTGGTTGCGTCTCAAAAATCAATAACTCTGAAGGAGTTTTGCGTCAGCTGGTGCAGGTGGCGTTCATTCGGAGCGATTCCATCGGCGTGACAGAACAGCTTAGGTGGAGGCTTCGGGCGGCCGACCCTCATCCTCTGGGACTCTCGTCACCACGGAGAGTTTCTGGTTGGTTCAAGAACTGGTTTGAACTGAGTAGTTTTTGGTTTTATTAAAACTTAGGACACTCCTCTCAGAGACAGAAAGCTTGTTGTTATGGAGCAAAGACATGTGAGAGCAAGTTAACTTTACCCTGATTCAGTCCCCTCTGCATGGTGTGTATAAGTGCAAATGACCTTCTTCACACTGTTAAATGCTACTGATTATCATAAATGATAATTATTATTAACCAAAGAATAATAAGTCATTTCAGTAATTAAATACATTTATAATGAACCATGATGATTATTTATGAACCTTGTAATAAACAGTAAAAAGAGTTTATTAAAAATTATTATTTTAAATCTTGAAGCGTCCTTCATCTTGCGGAGGAACAGCAGACAGATAAAAGCAGTCAGATTAAAGATGGTTTTAGCAGACTGCACGTCTCTTGTGATGGATAATCTGTGGGACAAAAGTTCAGCCAGGACAGCGTGACCTAGCCGGGGAAGTGTGACCTTTGGGTCACAAAATGAGGCCATTCATGTCGCTACAGTAGAAATGTGGAGTTATGTGTGTGCAGAGTCACATTTTTTAGAATCGTTTTAAGACTTTTTAGTCCACACGTGAAGAGGAAAAATGTAAAAATTAAGCTTTTTCTACATTTATTGTATCCTGAAGTTAGTAGTTTGTGAAGATTCAGATGCCATGTCTTATTTTCTTGTTGACATTTTTTTCTACTTTTATTTTGTAAACGAGAGAACATTCCAAATAAGAAATCATTTACATGTTCAACCAAGGACGTAATTTTCACTTTAGAAGTGGGGGGGACACGGGGGGGGGGGGGGGGGGTATCTTTACAGTATGTTCTAATGGGAAACCGGCTTCAACACAAACGGTTGTTTTCCGCTTGGTCCTAGAGCTCAACCAGTGTCAATTTAATATAGCATAATATTGTTTTTGGATGGTAAAAAGTGCAGGGGTCAAAACTTGACTTTGGAAAAAGTGGGGGGGACATGTCCCCCCTGTCCCCCCCACAAATTACGTCCATGTGTTCAACACTTTAAGTGTCAATAAATGTCAAAAGTATTTGAATTACACTGAAGTATTTCTGATTTGATATGCAAATTAATAATGCAGATGTTGATAAAACTGCTAGGATACTTAAATACACGTCACACTATTGTAGGTTGGACATTATGATATTTCGGACCTTGGGCTAAAAAAAAAATTCTTTCTGACTGGACCTTTTTAAATAGTATTTGTGTACCCCTGGTCTAACTAAACAAATGCAGGCAGCAGAACAGAAAAGGCTAGGCTAATCTGCTAATGCAGAGGCTTTGATTTGTTTTTAAGGAACACCCGGCTGACATCAGCAGCATGAATGTGAGGATATCTGGATTACCTTTTAAATCCAGTTGATTATTCTGGAATAAAAATCCAAACCCTAACAGCAGAAATACCAACATGTAAAACAAAACAAACCACTAAAAACTGTCCACAAAATTCTTTTACACCTTTGTTTCCTGACACAGTCAAGAGTTCAAACTCCAGTTTGTCCTGCATCATTTTACAGTATTTACACACCAACTTCTGCAGCTAAAATAAGACTCTTATAGCTTCTGCTATAAATATGGAATATGGTATTTACATGTTTACATTTAGATCCTTTAGGTGATCTAAGAAAGGCTCTGGCTCATGACCGATGTGACCTGATAGGATTTGCCTTAAAGAGCACGTCACCCCCCACCAGAGCCTAACTCCACTCCCACTTCCTGTTTAAAAAATGCAACAATTGCTGTTGCCTGCAGACCGAGAGGGCGAAGCCGCTAACAAGTACACACACAGGCTCACAACGGTATTGTGACGTCATATGGTACCAGCTGACATCATGGGGTGCCTCTTAGCCAATAGCAACGGCAGATTTAAATTCTAATGCAGTGCAGTTTGTACCTGAAGACTTGAGTTTTCTGCAGAATATTTAAATTTTAACTAAGATGCACTGAAGTGCCAAATTATTGACTACACGTGTCTGCAGCACGATTAGACACTCGTTTATATAGTTTGTCAGCAAAAAATGTTGATTTGGGGGTGACTTGCTCTTTAATTTTATTATGCAGAAAGGCGATAATTTTTCTTAAGACTGCTGAAGGTTCTTAATGAAATGGGTCAGTTCTGGCTCACAGCTTATAAAAAGCCCTAATTCAAAATTTCTATTAGAATATTGTGTAAAGGTTCACTAGTCTAGACTCACAGTATCACGCTGTAATCAGCTAATGAACCTGGAACACCTGCAAAGGGTTCCTGAACCTTTAGATGGGCTTTCAGTCCAAGTTGAACTATTGACATAAACAGACTTTTGCACCTTTAATTGCAAATAGCTTTTTGTGTCTGACAAGCTTATCTGCAATTGTTCACAATAAAGTCACAAAAAATGTTGTTTTCAAACTTTATTTTGGTTAGGGGGGGATGTTTGTGCAAGACATTTTTATTCCTGAAGGTTCTGCAAAAGTGGAGCATCACATTTTCACAGTAGAGAGAACAGGCCCCCTCCACCGCTCAGACCAGAGGACGATTACATCAGAGCAGAAATAAACCTAGAGTGAATGGATACGTTCCTCTGACCCACAATTCGGCCGACCACCAAATCCACCCCCAGGAAAAAGATTCCTGTTTAAACAGAAAATCATCTCGGACACTTCACATTTAAAACTATGATGTGCTCCAACAGATGAAATCCCCACAGTGCAAACATAATAAGTGATACTTCTGCATTAAGATAAAGCAGAAACCCCAAATCTCTGGTTAAACCTCCAAGTACATCATTGTATTTTACTTGTGGATCAGAACCACTCACTCTAGATTTGTTTGCTGCTCGGTTCCCATCTTTGTATTTTTACTTCATAAGATTTTTTTTAAGCCAACAAAACGAGAGATGCAGCTCCTTTGTCACAGTTGCCCATTACTGTCAGAACTTTAGTTCATAGTTCAGGTTCACCATTGCTTTTGGCTGGGGTGGGGGTGGAAAAGGGACACCTGGTCACTTTGGTCAGCGAGTCAGCAGCAAACAGTCGACACATTGTGACAGTGTTAAAGAGTCGTGGCACACTTCAGGACTCGAGTCCATGACACAGCATCAGTAGTTAGCTTGGTCCCCCATCAGAGATTCACTTGTCCGTGTGCACACCTGTTTGCTAATACCCAAGCTCATCATACACTCACGAGGACACACACTCACACACTTCTCCATAATAAAGCCCATTGGAGGCACTTCATATGAAACCGTAGAGCCTGACTGTGTCGGGCTGTAACGAGGCAGTTCAGACTGAGTAAGACGAGTCGAGTCGTTTCGTGTTTTCATGGTTTTGACGATGTGGAGCATACCAATCAGGCTTGGAAGCTCTTCAGACCACAGGTGGACACTTAAAACACTGCTCTGTTGTTACTTACACAATAATCTCCCAATAAGACCAATCAAACAAACCAAAAGTACAGCTGGGCTACTGGGACGTTTTTGTCATACGGTCATCAAATAAATACAAAGTTGTTCTGCTAACAAAGCCCAAACATCATTATTATTGATATGACACACAAATCATAAGTGTGTGGATTCAGTAGCAGCTTCGAGGAACAGGCACATCAAAATCAGCGAGCTAAAGAAAACATGAAAAATCTGCCATCAAGTAAAGACCAAACCCCACAAAGCTCCTAATTCAGCCACTTCTCCTCTAAATATGAAATTTCATCTCCCTTTTCCCACCAGTCCAGTGTTTTAGGAACAGCTCAGAAATAGAGAGGTCCAGATGTTCACTTTTGGGCCATTCCCATCTGTACCGGGTCGGCCCGGGCCGGGTAGCGTAGGTTGTTTACATATCTGGGTGGCCTGGTATTTTTCCGGGCCAACCAAGGCTCGTTCTCAGCCCTCTTCTCGAGGGGGTCTGCTTCAGGCCGACCAGGGCCAACACACCCACTGCTGACAGCAAATTCACACCTTCCATTAGAGCAAGCCTCTGATTGGTGGGTAGAATCAGCCCACATGGGCTTAGAACAAGGACGCGTGGAATCAACCGGGCCAGGCTGGGGCCGACCGGGGCTACCCGGACCGGGCCGACCCGGTACAGATGGGAATGACCCATTTGTATGAGCCTTGGAGCTCAGACCACCGGGACACCTTTGGCTTTGGGAGGGGAAACAAACACAATTTTAAAACCAAAATCAGGATACTCGTCAAAGAAACCAGAAACACGTTTCAAAACGACCGCTACAGCCCTGTTCTAATGACCTATTCTTTATGCTAAACACTATTTAAAGTCTTTCAAAAAGGTTTCAAATACTTGATTTTTACACAACATTTGGGACAATGGGATGGGTGATTTATTACCATGACAACCCCATTTAAGGCTACATCATCAACTTCCACTAAAGCGTCGGGTTAATCAGAGGGGTGAAATCTCTCTCTCTCCTACTGTAAAGGCATCCATAAGTTGATGAAGAAGCTCGGTTTTTCCAGAAGGCTCGAGGATAAAACAACTTCGGTAACGCTTCCTTTTACAGTCCCCTAATTACCAAGTACTTAAATGGTAATTACCTATTAAGATAAAGTGTATTATTGTTTCTAAGTTCTTAAACAGTTATTACCGTGTAACTGAGGTTCAAATCTAGTTATTTTGAGTAATCATTCCCCGTAAATATTGCTTTGCACAATAATTACTCTATTACAATTACACACTTTAATTACACAATTATACACTTTAACTTACCATGTAATTACCATGTAAGTACTTAGTAATTAGAGGACTGTAAAAGGAAGTGTTACCAAAACTTCCAAAATAAAATGAACCTAAGAGGATGAGTCATGCTAGTCTGATTTTATGATTTAATATCTGGAAATTAAACTTTTTTCAATAGCTAAAAATATAAATAGCGACAGCAGTGATTGGTTAGGGGTACAAACACAACCACGACAAAAACATCCACATTACATTAGTTCAGCTGCACTACGGCAGTAAAATGGTGATAAAAGTGTTAAATGAATGAATGAATGAAGCATTCTCCTGCTTTCATCATTTTGAGTCCTTGTTTTTCACGCACTAACTACGCTTTAATAACGGCACGCCTTTTGTTTCACATCGGCGACGGATAAATACGGGCCAGTAGGGTTTCTGTTTCTGGGGCAGAACGCTAAACATTTAACGTAGTTTCTACAGTTCAAGTAGCGTGATCGACAGACGGACAACAAACAATAAAACATCTTTAAAAAGGAAAAAAACCTCTAGAATTATTAAAAAGTGAAAGTAATATAAAACTACAGTATCAACAGAAGCGGAGAACGTTCACACATGCACGGCGCTAAAGGAAACCGATCCGGACCTGAGGTAGGCGGATATATCGGTCGACCTCTAACCCGGATCGCCTGGGCTGTTACAGAATGTGGATTTCCTCCGACTGAAAGTGATTGATTGCATAAACACACAACCTTAATAACTCGGGCCACATCTTTCACTGCAACTTAGCACAAGGGTGTCCTAAAGCTCGCCACTGGGCCGGTTTAAGGCCATATATGCTGATAAACGTTAACCTAAAAGGAGCATTGTGAGAATCGTGAGGCAAGAGGAAACTCAGCGGCGGATGAAAACATACAGAACGACACGGACACACACAGAGCAGCACATCCACGCCAGTGATGAGAAGACTCACAAACTAGTTCACAAACCCTTCATTTGTAACAAAGGTACAGCATGGCTTAAGACCTGAGGAATAGTGTAAACCCACATGACTCGCAGGTTTCCAAATCCAACTCATTCATTCATTTTCCAAATCCGCTTTATTCTGTTTGGGTACCCGTGGAGGAAGTGGAGCGCCTCCTTGCGGTTAATCACGGACGCAATCCAGCGCAGGGCCTTTTTCAGCGCTGAAGCAATAAAATCTACCTGACTGTTCAAGACTGAAGAAAAAAACATACAGGACAGAAACTGAAAGTGCTAATAATAATAATTAAAAATAAGCACTAAAGAACAAGCAGACATTTTAATGGTAGCCTGGGTGGTGAGTGTGGACACCTCCGCTGTTACTGGAATCCTTTACTTGGCCCATGGCAGACCTGTGCATCTTCTGTACCACATCCATGTTCGGATCCGGTAAACCGGGCATCTGAAAATCCTCACCTAAAAAGTCCATTCTCTGCATCATCTTTGAGTGGCCAGTGGGGGGCCCGTCTTTGCTGGGCCTGTATTTTGCCCCTGGAATGCGGTCTGTAGCGGCAGAAGCCTGCCCTCTATGGAAATCCACCGGCAGGTCTTGAAGACCATTCCCACTGTTCCCTGCTGCATTTGGGATGCTGCTCCAAGGCAGCTGCATGTAGTGCCCATTAATGTAAGGCATAGACCCTCCCGGGCAGTTCACGGGGGAGGAAGAGTGTGACGTTTCAGTGGGGTGTTTCAGAGGAAAGCCCTGTGCTGCATTGGGCAGCTTGTGGGCGTAGCTGAGGTTCTGAGACGGGAAAGCACACTCGCCCGACAGCTCCAACCTCGGGTTTTTGCAGGGGTGAACTCCTTCAGGAGGCTGCTGCATGTGGGCCAGTTGATGCTGGGCCCAGGAGCGCTGCTGCTGCTGCTGCAGATGTTGCTGCTGCTGTTTCTGTTGCTGCAAATGGTGCTTAAGCTGCTGCACCTTCTCGCTGTCAGTGTGAAAGGTAGCCATATCGTTAGGAGCAGCGGTAGTGGTCTGAGAGTGGAGTGTACCACTGGGTGTCTGAGCTGCAGCTTGGTCTGGGTGTCCCACCATGAGGCAGCTGGGACCACTGCCCAGAACCGAGTGCTGAGACACCCTCGAGCTAGCGTTGATCAGCAGGTTGCGGCTAATGGGGCTGGGGTTGGCAATCTGGCCCTCACAGACTGAGGTGATGCCCATGCCGGCCCGAGCCTGGCACAGCTGGTAGATTTGGTGTACAATGCTGCTCAGGTCACTGGGCCGGTTCTGATGCAAGCTGGCTGCCATCGACAGTGGTATGGTGGAGGTAGATACAGTTACATTTGGTGGGGCGTCCACATCTGGCAGCTTCCGTGGGCCATACTGTCCTACAGGGGGCTGCTGGAGGTTGTTAGACATGGATGGAGGTCCTGTAGGCACTGCATGGGGGAGCCCCTGGGTGTGTGGCAAGTTCTGAAGCTGAGCTCCTTCAGATGGGTGGCGCAGATCCTGAGTGGCTCCCTGCTGAGTAACTAAAGCTTGTGGAGTAACAGTCTGATGCTTCAGAGTGTGCACATGAGAAAGATGCTGCTGTGGAATGACTGATGAAAGAGACGGGCCCTGCTGCAGAGTCTGGGTGCGAGCCAGGTCCTGCTGTGTCTGTAGTGCTTGTGGGTGAGCCAGTCTCGGCTGCTGTGTAGACGGAACCTGGGGCATGCTCTGCTGCCGCTGTAGTGCGTGAGAATGGGCCATGCTCCTCTGCTGCAAAGCCTGGGGCTGGTGCTGCTGTAGAGTCATTGAATGAGCCAAACTTTGATGCTGCTGCAGGGCCGGAGCGTGAGCCATACTCTGCTTCTGGGTTGCAGGCTGGGAGGGGACTGGTAGGTGCGGAGCAGAATGAGGAAGATTTAAAGTGCTTTGAGTGGCGTACGGCCCAGTTTGAGGGTTCATGACTGCCTTCTGTTGTCTAGTGCGGCTATTATGCGACTGTTTGATGAAGCCCTTAACAGGTGCTCGAAGGACAGCCAGCAGGCCTCCACTGGAGGTGACCTGAGAAGCGTAGGGGCTGTGGCGTTGGCTGGACGAGGACGTGTCAAGCCCGTTGACTGTGCGACGCACGTGCTTCCTTTGAGGAACCTTGATGCTGTTGGGGAAGATCTGGATGGTCAGAGGGTTGTTGGCTACTTTCTTAGCATAGGCATCCAACTCGGCTGGGGTTGGATAGACGGCAGATCTCATCTTCTGTGTAGTTTCCCCTGCAGGAAGTTCAAGGTTAAAAAACTACAGAAAGGGTCGTTGACTGGGATTCAACACAAAACAGTTCTCTAAGCTATGATTCAAAACTTAAGCAGCTTGTCAAAATTATGAACAGCTCACATTGCTTTTATTCATATCTGCACTTAAAATAGAAAACATCGTCCATTCACCCTCCATCCATGTTATAGCAAAACAACAATGTAATAGTTTGCTTGTGTGTTTAGGGACCTCGAACTCCATTTTATAAAAGAAAAATGACAGCAAATCAAAAGCTCAGGTAATTTTGATACTTGATGGGCCATGCGGTTGTCATGGTAACCGGTGTAGCGGTAAACCCCGGTAAAAAAAAGTTGACAATAATAATAACAGTCTTGTTTTAAAAAAAAATTATCTTGATGGATTACCGTGGCTGCGGTGTAGGCGCGGTGACCCTTACCAGCCACCGTATCATCTGCTGAAGTTGCCGGCGTCACATGCGCACTTTGTTGTTTACAACCAAAACTTTCTTGAAGCTAAAGCTGAAATAATGGCCAAAGGAGGAGACGGCAGCGCTCAGGACATTTATTATCCATCAAAGAAGACAAAGTGGGAAGTACGGGCATCTTTTGGATATGTGAAGAATGCCGAGGGACAGCTGATAGAAGACGGCTATCCTGTTTGCAGCACGTGCAGAAAAAGTGTCTGTGAAAGGCAGCAACGCTTCAAATCTCATGACACATCTGCGTGACCATCACCCACAACTCTACAGTCAACGCAAGGCAAGCTAATGTTAGCGTTTTAGCTAAAATGCGTGATCCGAGGATTTGGGTTGAGGGAGAATGCAACGAGTCGCTATATAAAGCAGCCGCAGCGCCGCTACCTGCATATAAACCGTGTCGCGGACACACCGCCATGTTGAAATGACGCTATGCATTACGGGGCTCCCAGGGGCAGATAAGAGTTGGTCTCTCTCCGAGAATAATTATGAATTTAACAATGATTACTGCCTGATGACATTTTCCCACATCTGCAAAGATCACTGGAAGGACACAAACCGAGGACGATATTTACCTGATATAGGGTTTATTACTCAAGTAAGGGTAAAAAAGTATCTGATTAGAAGGCTACTTGAGTACTGAGTATCATCTGATCTAATATTTTTAAAATGATGACATCAAACAGACAAAAAATAAGAAGTTATGAGCAAATATTGGTATTTTAAAGACTAAAGGGGAAACATGTAAACAAATAAACAAAATATTTACAAAATAACACATTTTAGGCAAAATTTAGACACAAACTGAGGACAATATTTTCCTGATATACAGGGTTTATTTAATTGTGTGAAAATGTAGCACGTTTAAAAAAATACCGCGATAATACCGAAAACCGTGATAATTTTGGTCACAATAACCGTGAGGTTAGATTTTCACACCGTGACAACTAGGGATGCAACAATACCACTTTTTTACAAACCGATACTTGGATCTGAGTACTCGCCGATACCTATTACCAATACCGATACTTCTACCACACAAAAAAATGCAATGATTTGGAATACAGATTTTATTTTATTCTCTGTTTTCAACAGGAAAAGACTGTGAGGTAGATAAAAAGTAAAATATAGGAATGGAAATAATCACAAAACTAAAATATTAGGTGATCAGAAATGACAAGTTACAGTGAAGCCATTTTCAAGCAACTGCATTGGTATCGGTTCCTGGTATTGGTTAACTTTTACCGATACCGATACTGGCATTGGTATGGGTATCGGTGCTGATACCGATACCAGTATCGTATCGGTGCATCCCTAGTGACAACCCTACACGTAAACCTGACAAAAACAAGTCTAACCATAAAAATGCTTAAAAGGATGCTTACATTTCTGAGGTCCAGTGTTCATCTGCGTGCAAGGAAGAAATCGGATGGTAGGGTCTCCTAATGCTGGCAAACAAGCCAGCATGTCACGATTCCTCTAATGCTGCATTGGACACGTTCTTCTCATACTGGGAACAAACAGAGCAGGTGCAAGTCAGCAGCCGACTACTTTGCTGTGGCTGATTTTCACATTTAGTTTTGTTTGACCTTTTGCAAATGGAAGCATGAAATGAAGTGATATCATGGCTCCGTAAAAGCTTGCTGTGCAAACAACGCGGTCAGCAAAACATGGAGATGTTAAAAGCCCTTTTCAACCAGCAAAGTAGCGTATAAATGCAGCAGGATGGCAGGCTGCAAGCCAACAAGCTAGCATCTCCAGAACCAACAGAGAAGCTACATTTGAATGAAAACTGAAGGTTTGGACTGGAGACAAACTTCAACAGCAGAGAAGGACGTCCTGCTGAAAAGCGACAGGAATTTTGGCCCACCAACGTGGCTGCTGATGCAGATAGGCCCTTTATATTTTTTTAGGGTTTTCATGGATGTGAGGCTTAACAAAAAAAAACACAAAAAAATTAAAACCACAACGTCAAATGTTCCTTAATATACTTTCCAGGTAAATGGGACTAAAAACTGTGACAGATTTAACAAAAAGTAAACTTCAGCACAACTTATAAAATAGACTAAATGCAGCACATGACTGAAGACGGACAGACTCTGTTCTTGTTGAGGATTATGGCTCAAATTTATTTTAACAAAAACTAAACTACCCCATTAAGTCTGTGGAATATAATTATTTTCGTTAAATGCGGGGTTTACTCATTTAATCAACACATCTGCAGGGGTCTCTAGTAGGAATGAATGCATTGTAATTTTTACTCTGCTGTGCCTGTTTCAGGATCTAGGAGATTGCAAGATTAGAGGAGACCTTCAGGTGACAGGATTTGGAGTCTAACTGGAATAAAACAAATTTTCATCCATGGTTTAGAGATATTTCAGTGATTTTAGCTAATTTAGATATGGGCATAATTCTTCAAAATAACTTCAAATGTGATATTAATTGTGTCAGACAGGAGTTGGGTGTAAAATACAGGGAACAATGGAAGAAGGATATTAGGAATAAACCAAAACTTAGAAATGATGTACAATTTAAAAGGGATTATAATCAGGGGTGCACATAATATTTTTGGGTTGGTACTCAGGGGAGAACCTATGGTTGCTGCTTGGTCCTCACATTTTTAATGCACTTAATTCTTAACTCAACTCACAATAGGAACAAAACAGAGTAATGCGTTGATGAAGCTGCATATTTTAATTTTGACTGAAAACAATAAGTACAACAGGTAAATACTGCCAGCTTAACTTAAACCTTCTCATTTTCAAATAACATGACTGAATTGTCTGAATGTAAAACACAATGTATAAACAGCTGCTTTTGTGATAACAAACATCACATAAAATACATTTAAAGCACTTAACTAAATTACTACTTCAGAGCACTGAAGTTTTTAAAATGGCATAAATGCCGTTTTTATTTCTACACTCTCATCATCCTCATCATGGTCCTGACTGCGTTCAGCTTCATTATTGACTTCCCGAACAACTTTCTGATGTTCTCTGCTGTTAGTATGTTTATCAAACGCTGGATGATTGAAGTTTTTAGTGCCTATGTAAAAGGCGCTGTTTTTGTCTGCGAGGGTGGGATTTTCACGGCATAATCTGCACCAAATCTCTGTGCGTTCATCGTTTGTTTGAAGCCAGCTGACCTCCTGCAGCCACTTCTCCGCGAATACCCTTTTCTTTTGCGGTTCCGACTCAGTCTGACGTTTTTTTGGAGGCGGAGGAACACCAAAATAATTACTTAATGGAGTTTGCTTCTTGGACATCTTTAAAATTCTCCAGAAATGTCTTCCTTCCTCCACAAAGTCTTAGGTGTGCAAATGTGTACTGCAGCCTTTTTTTCAGGTGTGCATTGTTTATTTTGACAGCGCATGCGCACCTGCGGACCACTTATGTGCACAACTGATTATAATACAGAATTATATCTCAAATGTAAGTTAACAAGAAGACAAAGATCTCTCTGTGCTCAAATAAGAACGGGCACCCTCCCTTTGGCAGTGGAAGCGGGAAGATTTAAAGGAATACCTTGGGATTCTCGTCTATGCGAGTTTTGTGATTCCAACGTGGTTGAGAATGAATTCCATTTTATCTTTCATTGTTCCTTGTATTGTGATTTGAGAGAGCCCTTATTTGAACTTATCCAGTCGAAAAATCCAGATTTATTTTGGAAGCAGGAAGTTGAAATTATGTATTGGTTGTTTGAAAATAATATTTTTGTTTTAACTAAATTTGTGGAAAAGGCATGGTACAGACGCCAAAGGATTCTATACCCCATATGAGAAATATGAGGTCATATTTGTGTTTGTTTAGCAATGTTGTGTATTACTCTGTATCACGCAGTCATGTTATGATTTAATAAATGTTGTAGTGTCTAATAAGCCCGTGTGGGTTGGGCACCTTTATGGTGTATGACACTTAAATAAATTAAATCAATCAATCAATCAATCAATCCTGATATTTTGACATCTGGTCTTTGATTGGCTAACAGAAACATGATTTTACCACTCTACCGCTGATGTTTTATCTCCACAAATATATCACAAACCTGGAGGAGTTCTGCTGTGTGGTGGAGTTGCTAATGCTAACAGTTAGCTTCTACTAGTCGAGACATTCCCTGCTGTTTCCTGGACACTAAAAAAACAGCCTTCCACGTTGTGAGTCACGATGGGTGAATCCATGAATGTTAAGTGACAGGGTGACGTAGATCTGTCAGGATGTTCTAATCCTTGAGTTTCAACGTCTGTTTTCTATCAGAAGCTAATGCAGGAGATAGGTGTAGGAGACTATTGCCATGTTCAGCCTGCATTAAAACTTCAGAATGACCCATTAGAATCAGAAATACTGATTAAAAATGTTTTTTGAGTAAACAACACCTTTAAAGTTTCACAATAAAAATATTTCAGTTTTAACATAATATCCAACTCTGCTATGCTGACCTATGTTTGTTTATTTTGCAGACACTTCAATCCAAAAATAATTCACAATCTAACAGACACGCATATTTTTGGCCTGTGGGAGGATATCAGAGTAGTTTTGGGAGAACATGCCGACTCCATGCAGAACTGAAAACGGGATTCGAACCTGTGACCATCAAGCTGAGGCAACGGTGATACCAACTGCACCACTAATTTAAATCTGGACACCACAGGTCAAGAATGTTCACTACATAAGCCATGTCAGGCTGTTGTGTAGGATACTGAACAATGCCTGTTAACACACAAGTAACAGCAGTCATTAGTTTCAGCTCTACAGCGGATTTAACTTCTTATCTGCTTCTGTAGAAAAAGCCTTGTGATCACCCACTGTCACCCACTATGATTCATCACTTATTCACCTACGCTGAGTTGCAGGAAGCTTTTAAGGCATGGTGTGCTACATAGTTTTCGCTTTAGTTTAACGCTTAAAATAATAAAAAGAAATGGCCACTCTTTAACCTATTTAACGTACCTGAAATGCTTTAAGCTAAAACAATGATTTCAAAATGTCAGTTGAACATTAAGATGATTTTAAAGCACAAAACAAAAATGAATAGTGACATTTCAACTACCTGTTACTGTGATATCATTTTTAGTAAAACGTTTATTAGGTTTTTAGCCTGTTTGAACTCTTGTTTAGTTTTAACAGCGAGCAGCTAGCTAACTAACGTTAGCCATCTGTTTAGCAACCCATGACTAATGTGCTATAGTTTCAGCTAACATCGATGACGACCTGATAAACACGACGACTTATCTACAACTGGACACAAACTGGCGGATCAGCGGAGGGGCAACTCTACACTAAATGAAACGAAAATGATGAAATTACGTCGACTGAAATGTTAATTTCGAGTCGATAACCACAATAAATAAGCAGCTTCTTTGTGCTTGTGACCAGGCCAACCGCTGAGCTTTAAATTTACTTTTAAGAGGACGGGAGCGTGACGCGTGACAAACAGGTTCATACTTACTCCTATAGATGATATGAGTTGGGGAACTTCACTTCATTTTGTTGGGTTATAACAGTGCCAGCTTAAAAAGAGCGACGACACCATACCGGTTTAGTGTCTTCTCCGTGTTGCTGTCTAGCTACGGCAGCAACGTCGACTGAGCATGCGCAGAGAGGAGGACCCCCCCCCCCCCCCACAATTGTCGAGCGCCTGTTCAAAAACAAAACAGGTTTTTATTATTTTATTGTTTAATTTTTATTATCAAACATATAACCGATTTCGAAAACAGCCCGATAATCATAATTAAACAATGGCAAAACGACATCAAGTAAAATCTTCTGTAAAGTTTTTAAGAACTTTAATTAGTTCATTTACAAACAAACATGGAAATGTTAAATCCTAAATCAAAATTCAAAAGGAGCAGTTAACATGCTATGACATTGGTAAATACAAATTAAGTGAACCAAATAATATTTTTTTATACATAAAGAACAAATAGAATACAGCTTTCAATGGTGGTATGGCTTTTATCATATAATTAGGAAGTTCAGCTAATATGTTATATTCATTTTCGTTATATTTGTTGAGGTGTTTCAGGGACTTTGGAATCATTGAAATTCAGTTAAATAAACATTGAGACGGGGTGATTTTAAAATTCGTTTTTATGGATAAAAAATTGTCTAAACAGGATGATATTATAGGAGAATTCCTTATCTGTATTTTTGATTATAATTCCAAATATTAACAAACCTTTAGTAATGTGAAATTGAAGTGGTATTTTTATTTTGATCCACCTCTCTAGATTTTTCCAGAAAAATTGTGTTTTCTGACATTCGTAAAAGACATGAACTAGTTTCTATATGACTTTCACAAAAACAGCAGTTGTTGCTATCAATATTAATACAAGTTCTTAACTCTTTTGAAGGATAGATTGCATTCATTATTTTAAAGTGGGTTTCTATAGCTTTTGGTTGTATGGATAATTTTAGGTAGATAGTTCTTATTTTCTCAATAGCTGTTTTATCAAATTAGTCCATCCATCTTCTGAACCTGCTTAGTCCACGTGGGGTCGCAGGGGGCTGGTGCCTATCTCCAGCAGTCAACGGGCAATCAGGTGGGGTACACCCTGGACAGAGAGCCAGTCCATCGCAGGACAACACACAACCATGCACACACACACACCTAAGGGCAATTTAGACAGACCAATCAACCTAACAGTCATGTTGTTGGACTGTGGGAGGAAGCCGGAGTACCCAGAGAGAACCCACGCATGCACAGGGAGAACATGCAAACTCCATGCAGAAAGATCCCAGGCCGGGAAGCGAACCCAGGACCTTCTCGCTGCAAGGCAACAGCTCTAGCCACTGTGCAGCCCCTTTATCAAATTAGTAAATTATGTTATTTTTGTGTTTTTTTTTTTCAGGAAATAAATAATCATTTAAATCTGATCTTATAAGGTTATTGCATTTTCTGTCAGTTAATGGAAGATCTTTTGCATATAAGGTAGAAAGGTTTGGAATAATAAATTGATATTTTAGATATTCTTGGGCTTGGATGATGCATTTTTTTGGAAGTGCATTATGTAATATGCAGAGGTGGAAAGAGTACTAAAATTTCCTACTTAAGTATGAGTACCAATACTTTGATAATTTTTTACTCAAGTACAAGTAAAAGTACTTGCCTAAATTTTTACTCAAGTAAAAGTAAAAAGTATCGTTAATAAAATGTACTCAAAGTAAAAGTTACTTAGTTACATTTTTGTCAGCGTAAGGATGGCTAAGTAGTGCAAAATCACAATGCCAGTTTGCAATTCGCTTGTGCGCACACACACACACACACACACACACACACACACACACACACACACACACACACACACACACACACACACACACACACACACACAGTTTGATGGAGGGATTTCTATCCAATCAGTGAGAACAGGACGTGCACATTGATTGGACGATGTTTTTCTAGGATGGCAGGTTTCAATTGTGATTAAAATTATTTTTTATTTTGACAAAATATATATTTTTTAGATGCCATCAGCATGTGAGGTATCTCAATGTTCTCATGACAAAACTCTAAACACGAGACTGTGCTCTAACCTTTCACATAACATAACAAGACAAATGAAATTCAAACATTTCAAATGCACCGTATGACAGCTGCTAACGTTGGCCCTGCCCTACTTTACCTCTACTTTACAGTTCCTTTATTCGTGTCCATCCTAGAGCTCCTCTTTGACTTTTAAAGCTAGCAGAGTGGGTTCACTCACTCATTTAACCCTTCACCACTGAAATCAGTTTGTTCATTCCAATCCTCCTAAACAATCCTCCAATCATCCAACTGGAATCCTTCAGGGTCCCGTAACGTCCATCCTGTCAGAATAGGCCTTGGGAGCCCAGGTGTTACTAAAACTAATGGTGTCCATCGCTTTTAGATATGTAATAAAGCCAGATCTGTTGGCACAGATGGCGAACCTTCCAGGTAAAGTTCATGCCACAGCATAAACCCGACGCACACACATCCACCCCCTTTCATTAGATTTGCCTGAACATGCCAGGCAAGCTCCTTTAAGTACTCTGTGCAATCCTTTTATATTAAAAAGTAAATAAATAAATAATTCCTTTACGAGAATCACAACCTCGGGGAGCGAGCGGATGCGGAGAGGGCGGAGCAGGTGAGGTGGCAGGAGGAGCGGCCTCAGGAATGCAGCTGGAGACTAGAAGATCGCTGCGACTGGAGAAGACCAGGAGGTCGGTAACGCTGCAGAGGCTGAACAAAGAGCTCGGTTGAAATGACCCAATGTGTGTTGAGAGTGGTGTGTGTGACCCCTGAGCAGCTGATAGGGCTGCACATGCTGTCCGTCCACCATTAAAAATTTAATGTAGATGTTCTTCGCCTCCACAAAGCAACGAGATGCTAGGAACTAACAGTTTAATCCCATATTTTACTTCTATCCAGTCTATCTTCAGAACCCTCCACATCTGAACCACCTAAAATCCTCTAGACATGTGGACATTTATAAACAAGGAATCTTGCATCAAAAACTTCCTTTCTTCCCTGTCAGCTATTTTTACTTGTTCCAGTGTCCCTTGCTCTCATTTGTCTCATATTGTTTTACATGTTTCCTGTTCTTATCTTACTGCTTACAGGTGTCGTATCAAAGGCGTTTGTTTTAGTTGTATTTGGGGCGACGGTGGCCGAGGAGTTAAGTGTTCACGCCTCCTCAGAAAGTCAGCTGTGCAAGACACTTTACCCCAGAGGCGGATTTAGGACTGAAGAAGATCCGGGGCTTCACACACACGCGCGCGCGCACACGCACTAGTCAACATCATATATATACAGTATATGTCTTGTACCACATAATTTTTAATCTGAAGCTACATATTAAGCATGTTCAGGGCAGAGTATTGTTCCTGTTAGTGTTTAGTGTGAGATGATAGTAAATATTCCCTTTCTTTCTCCAACAACTTTACCTGATAGTAAGCTAACTTTAGGCAAACCAGCAGCACAACAAATATTTTCAAATAAGACTCATAAACCTGAGTCAGCACCAGTCTCATCAAAGCTGGGGTTCTGTCGCCGTACTTTTGGTCTAAAAAACGTCCTTATGTCCATCTTCACTCATGCGTTTCAGGCAGAGAGTAGAAGAAGCCGGCTGCTGAAAGGCTTCTTCTTCAGAGGTGGAGGCTCAGGCAGGCTGTATACAAACTACTGCCAGCTGCGCCCTCTCTGTTGGACTTTGGTACTGCATGTTACTTCCGTGATTTAGATCCGGGGCTTATCATGAAAGATCCGGGGCTTCAGCCCAAGTAGCCGGGCCTAACGCCGCCCCTGCTTTACCCCCTCACCTGCTGGTGGTGGTCAGATGAGCTGGTGGTGCCCGTGGCCACGATGTGGCCTGTAGAAGCCGCTCAGGAATGTTTTTGGACTCTATTTTTTGCTTACTTCATACGATAAAGTGTTGAGATTTCTTCATGCTGTTCATCTGAAGACCAACATAACATGGGGGATGTCGTAGAAACCAAATGCAGGAAAATCCCGTAAACACCAGGTAAAGTTGCGATTGAACCCTTTAATGTGTAGAAGGCGAGAGGCACCGGGGTTCGCGGTACAAACACACACAGCTCACATAGGGAACCAACAGCAAGCGAATAACAGAGCAGAGTCTAATGGGCCATTCCCATCTGTACCGGGTCGGCCCGGGCCGGGTAGCGTAGGTTGTTTACATATCTGGGTGGCCTGGTATTTTTCCGGGCCAACCAATGCTCATTCTCAGCCCTCTTCTCGAGGGGTCTGCTTCAGGCCGACCAGGGCCAACACACCCACTGCTGACAGCAAATTCACACCTTCCATTAGAGCAAGCCTCTGATTGGTGGGTAGAATCAGCCCACATGGGCTTAAGACAAGGATGTGTGGAATCAACCGGGCCAGGCTGGGGCCGACTGGGGCTACCCGGCTCGGTACAGATGGGAATGGCCCATAAATCAGGAATGGGGAACCCTGGTCCTCGGGGGCCAGTATTCTGCATGTCTTTGCTCCAACACTTCTGATTCAGTGGTTACTTCACCTGTTCTGCAGCTCATCAGGCTCTGCAGAAGCTTGTTAATCACCTGCTGATTGAAATGAGGTGTGATGATGCAGGGTTGAAACTAAAATATGCTGGATGGCGGCCTTTGATGGACCAGGGTTCCCCACCCCTGGTCTAAATAGACTGGGCAGCATGGATGTAATTTTGGGGGGGACAGGGGGGCCATGTCCCCCCCACTTCTTCCAAAGTCAAGTTTTGACTCCTGCACTTTTTACCATCCAAAAACAATATTACGCTAAATTAAACTGACACTGGTTGAGCTCTAGGACCAAGCAGAAAACAACCGTTTGTGTTGAAGCCTGTTTCCCATTGGAACATACTGTAAAGACCCCCCCCCATTTCTAAAGTAAAAATTATGTCCATGCTGGGCAGTGATGAGAAACAGGGAACAGGTGTGATGATAATGATCTACAGGTGTGACTAGTTAACTGAGGAATGGGAGGAAATAAAAAACACAAGAGGACTGAAACTGAACCAGAAGAAACCGTAACTAAAATAGGATGACATCAGAGAATAAAACCAAGCAAGGGGAAGCTAACCAATCTAAAGACACTGAATTAAACTGAAGACCAA